TACACGTAGGAGAAAGAGACTTGTTTGTAAATATAATATTAATATATATTCGTTTGAAACTTCAACGCACAAATAATGTGAGATTAAACTCGCGTCACATTTTCTCTCGAAAGGCTTCAATGATTTTAATATTTACAATACCTTTTATTTATAATAGAGATATATCATAATGATGTTATTTGATAAGGACTTTATAGTACTTATTCCAATCTCTCTTATATAGGCAGGCAATTAGTGCGGGTTTGAATCTTCTTAGAGTTAAAGTTTATATTTTTTATCTAATTATCGTGACTTTCTTTTAGATCACCGGTGAAAGATTAAGTCGCCATAATCACTAGATCATCGGTAAAAATCTCGTCAACATAATTTGCGGAGCATTGTTACTAAAATTGTTGAACGATTCGTGATAAAAAGATCACGAATCTATCAAGTAAAGCATCTCCGATTGATCGACGAATAAGTCGTCATTAGAAAGAGGACGATCCGTCGAGAGATGAGTTGTCACCTCTAAAGAGTGTATCGGATGTGATGAAGAGCCTCTTCTTGTTGCTCGGACCTGAAGATGAAGTTTCCTAACATGCGTCGCACCTCCATCCAACTCCTCTCCATCAAGTGACAGTTACCAGAGAGCCGCAAAGTTGTCATTTTTCTACTCCGTCGGGTGACAATCATTGGAGACGATTCGATGACCTATTTTATTGATCTCTAAATTTTGTAAGGAGATATAAAGATTGTCCACGTCGTCCTTATTCAATGAGAGCCTTCGAAGTCGTGGACACTTACCTTCTTAAACACTTAGAATTTCAGTACATCGTTGATACATTGCCGTTGCGATGTCGGAGTTCTGTTTTCTTACTTTCAACTTAATTTTCACTTCATTTAGTGATAATTTGTGTGATTTAAATTTATCAAGATATACTTCATTCAATTACAATTCTTTCGGCTTTTACAAATCTTAATTTGATCAATTAAATCGTCTGTAATTGCTTACGTAAGAATCACTAGACGGAACTCTATTTCTGCCTGATTCACGTTCGTCGGGCGCTGACATCATCTTGACGTCCACACCCTTATTTCCCTTTTTCATAAATTTTAAATATTTTTTTTATTTTGAATAATATTCTAAATAATTACCTAATATTATATTAGATCCCTATGATCGACTTAAAAAATTATCATTATTTTTAAAAGTTTTATTAAATTATAATTGATATATTTGTTCAGAAATACTTCTAAATATTTGAAAATTTATATTTTCTAATTTTATAAAATTTAAATTTATGTGATTTACTATACAACGACTAAGTCACGTTAGGTAATCTGGTAGAACTCACCTCCATGAGATGCATTGATACTTTACTAAACATAATATGGGGGATGGCACATAGAGCAACCTTGTTATATGGGTTTAGGTCTAACCCCTTCCCTACCAGTGATGCAGCGGCAACCTCCGCTCAAATACATATTCCATAGGGCAAAAAAAAGGGATAAATTTGGATTGGACGTCTTCATGGTCCCACTCTAATCTATCCCATCATTCTTGTTCACCCTCGATCAATCTGATGTTCTTGACAGTAGAGAGCCCAAAGGGTAACTTCTTCAGCTCTGGACAGTCATATACCGAGACACTATCCAAGGAACTGACGTGGAGAAGCAAGAAATAAAATGTGCTAGAATGATCTAGTGTAGATGTTGAATTCTGAGCAATCGCTCAAGGTCTATGTGAACTACTTTGGATGAAGATCTTCTTAGGAGACCTGAAGATTAAGTGGTATGGCCAAATGAGATTTTTCATGATCTTTGATGAGATTTATGTAGGAAGTCCTCGTTCTTTGATTGAAGGGCTTACATATAGAGGGAAAGCAGCTGACATTGCTATGTAGGTAGTGAAGATGCCAGTAGTGGGAGTCCGGTGGAACTCACCTCCATGAGATGCATTGACACTTTACTAAACATATATGGGGGATGGCACATAGAACAACCCTGTTATATGGGTCTAGGTCTAACTCCTTCCTTGCTGGTGATGCAGCAGCAGCCTCCACTCTTGCCGCTGCTTTTCATGATTTCTACCTAGCGGCAAAAATTGATACCTGACATCATTGGGGATCCTGCAGGCGAGAGAGGCATCGATGGAGGAAGCTATTGTGTGAATCTCTAAATGGTGGAGGAACCGGTGCAATTGTTGCTAGTGGCGTTCATATAGAATTTGGTGGAGCCATCCCTTGTTGGCTGGCACCCACATTTATTAGATGACTGAATTTCAATGAGCTCCTCACTTTTAGAAAGATTATAAGAATTAGATGGCAAAATCAAGTGAACTTGATCACCTCCTCCAAGAATAGGATGCAGCCCTCATTCAACACAAGCATTATCTAGCTAAGCCTCAAGTTCACATGAAGGCTTATGCTAACCTAAGTGGTGAGACATTATATTTACAAACTAAGGGAGGTGATGTGACAGTCATTATATATTAAATCACGTAAATTTAAAATTTATAAAATAAGAAAATATTAATTTTTAGATATTTAAAAATATTTTAAAACAAATATATTAATTATAATTTAATAAAAGTTCTAAAAATAGTGAGAGTTTTATAAGTTGATCATTGAGATATAATATAATATTCAGTAATTTTTTAGAATTTTCCTTAAAAAATATGATTTTTTATAAATTTTATATTAATATATATAAATAAAATATATTTAAAATTTATGAAAAAGAAAAATAAGAGTGTGGATGTCAGGATGACATTAAATCTCAATAAACATGAATCAGACAGAAATAGAGTTCTATCTAGTGATTCTTACGTAAGTGATTATAGACAATTTAATTGATCAAATTAAGATTTATAAAAGTCAGAAAAATTATAATTAAATGAAGAATAGTTTGATAGATTTAAATCAGATAAATTATTATTAAATAAAGTGAAAATTAAGTTGAAAATAGAAAAATAAAGTTCTAACATTATGGTGGCGATGTGTCAACAATACATCAGAACCTTAAGTGAAGAAGATAGACAAGTAATACTTGTAGATGATATAGAAGAACTATGAGATGAACTAAAATTTTTACTAAACAAAAATTAGGCTCATGTCAATCATTTACTCTATTGATATGGACAATTCTTAATGAAATAGTGAAGATATGGCTCTAGCCCTTATTTGGCAAGTTTGTATTAATTATTTGTTTGTGGGTGATGTGAGCTGGTCTCATGGAGAGTTTTTCAAGTAACTTGAATAATTGCTTCCAAAAATTACTCATAAGAATCCAATCTCAATTAGTGAAAATTGATTCCACAAAATCATCATGTCCAACAATATCTCAAATAAAGATTTATGTTGTGTCTTGTGCTATGATTGTATTGGAGAGGAGAAAATTGAGTGTATTTGTTCAGCCAATCAACCATGACTAGGTTTGCACTAAACCCACCTGAATAGGACAATATTTTTGACAAAATTTATTGTTAAATCATTTTAGATTCTCTTCAAAATAGATAAGAGGTTGTAGAAGGCTAACAAAGAAGTGGGACTCAAAATGTTTTTCTAGCACACAGAATAAGTATATACATGCCTCTTGTTGCACATCTTCATGTTAATAGACTTCACATATTCTCCAATCCAAAGCTCAATGTGTAGAAATTTCAAGTGTCCATAAATTGTTGAGTTGCGAAATTCATTCGGAAGCTTTGAGATGATTAATCACTTGCTCATTGATAATCTCAATTTCTCGAGAGAGGACAAGGTATAGCCAAAGAATGCAATCGGCTTCGTTAACTATATGATGGCATATTTGACTTTGCTATTAGATGTGTTTGCTTCCAATTCAAAACTCAGAGAGAAGTTGGGGAGAGACAATACCAAAACTAAAATCATAATAATATTGAACTTGTAGAGACACCTCCTTCAAATTCAAAGGTGAGCTATTAGTAGGCTATTGATGTTGAGGCCCAATCGAAATGATTGTGTTTGAGCTATTATGTAGTAGCCTACATGATAAACTTGTATTCGACATTGAAGTGTTGATTAAATCAGGGGAAAAAAGAATTACTTTCCTAATTTAGGGAAAAAAGCAATAGTCATCTTTGCATCATGTTCTCCATAGAGGCCATATGGCTCAAATACCCCTAAAGATTATTCTTGGGAACAAAAAAGGGGCTAAACTTGGATCGGACGTCTTCATGGTCCCACTCTAATTCATCCCACCATTCTTGTTCACCCTCAATCCATCTGATGTTCTTGGCAGTAGAGACCCCAAAGGGTAGCTTCTTCAGCTCTGGACAGTCTTCAACCTCGACTCTCTCCAAGGAAGGAAACAACAAGAGATGCCTAGATATGCTCCTCCATTTTGGCAGATCATACAAGGTAATCTCCTTTAATTTAGGGAAGAATGAATGATTTTCATAATCGACGTTGTCCACCATCACCTCTTCTATTCTCGAACATCCTTTTACTGCGAACTTCTCAATGGATGGCAGTTGCCTGATCCACGTTATGTCCTCTAATCCTTCACAATCCGAAATATATAATTCCACAAGGTTTCTGAAGATGTCACCTGTGGTGGGCCCCCGCCCTAACACGTTGCCATCCTTCCAAGAGATCGTTGCTGGGGGAAGAGTCCACAATGTCAGGTTCTCCAGCTCCGGGAACTGGTTCGTGTTGAAGACCAGCTCTTCCAAGTCGGTAGAATTCGTAATCACAAGCTTTCTCAGACCCTTCATCATCTCAGGATTAGCAGATAAATCTAAAGACGAGCTTCCCACATTCCAAAGGCTTAGAAATCTGATCGACGCACACAGTGTATGAGACCTCTGTAGACCCTCCTTGCCTTTCTGCGTCATGCCTTCAATAGAAAGGTCGAGCTCCGTCAGCTTCTGCATGCGGTCCAAGTCTCTCAGACTGAGTTGTCTCCCCTCATGATCACTCACACAATCGCCACCACCCTCCTCCCATTCTCCTCTCAACTCATGACGACTTCGAAACACGTTCAGCGACTGCAGACCTTTAAAGCGATGAGACCGCCTCGCATGGGATACTCGTAAGCTCAAAGGTGCCCTCCAGACGCAGTTGTCTTAGCTTCGTCAACCTCCCTACCTCCATGGGCAATGATTCCAGGTGAGTATGTGATAGATCGAGATACCGCAGTTCAACCAGTGACCCGATTTCCGGGGGGAGAACCCTTATTTTCGTTATCGACAGATCCAAAACACAAAGTCTCGGCATGAACTGGAAAAACCCACGGGGGATTTCCTCCAGATGAGAATAGTTGAAGTGCAGCAACAGCGTCTGCAGCTTGGGGCAACGAGGCTCCTCGGCGAGCACGCGTATCTCATTATGCATGAGAGATATCCTTCTCACCTCCGTCCATCTTTCCGGCGTCGGCACGTGCCACAACCTCTCCCCTGAGTTTACCAGGAAGACATTCTCCTTCTCGTCGCCTTCGCCGCCGGTTATCCACAACGCCATCTCGCGGACCGTGTCATGGAGCTTCACGTGTTTTCCTTTGACCTCCCCGTCTTCTAGCAGGCAGGCAGTTTTGAGACTGGTGATGACACCGAGGCCGCGGTTACGAGCTCTGTCAATGGAGTCGGGATAGGGTCTGCTATGTAACAGCCCTTCGCCTACCCAGTAATCAATGAGCTCGATTATACCGATGTCGTCATCCTCTGAGAAGAGGGCGCAGTAGAGAAGGCACTCCCTGGCGGATGTATCTTTCAGTCTGTCAAAACTGAACTTGGGAAGGGATAGAACCTCTTTCATCTCTCCGATCTCCGTGGGTATCATCTTCAGGTCCATGAGAGCTTTTTCCCACTCGCCACGGGTGGTGACACTCGCCATGGCCTGGCCTACGGTGATGAGAGTGATCGGCAGGCCTCCGCATTTCTTAGCAACGGCTTCTGCGAGAGATCTCACAGAGGGGGGATCCCACTGGTCTTCTCCCTTTCCTAGCTTTTGGCAGAAGAGCTCCCAAGAGCGTGCTTGATCCAAGAAGGACACCTTTACTTTCCGCTGAGCGTCCATCTTGATGCAGACTTCCTCGGAGCGTGTTGTGAAGACTATCTTGCTTCCGTTCCTGATGGAAGAGGAGGAGAAGGGGACGCCTACTGCGCCGAGGTCTAGTTTCTCCCACAGGTCGTCCAGCAGCAGAAGGAACTTCTTCTTGGAGAGCTCCCTCACCAAGGTGTTCATCCTGTCCTCTAGATTCTCAGGAAAGGGTGAACCCTGGCTCTGGCCGGGGCGAGAGTTGCCCAACCGGACGGCGATGTCCTCTTGAACCTTCGGGATAAGAAGTTCCTTGGAGACGGTGACCCAAATCACCAGATCGAAACGGCCGGATCCCCTCTGGAGGAACTCGTTGTTGATGGACTTCAAGAGGGTGGTCTTCCCAATTCCCCCAGGCCGTAGATCCCTATGATTCCCGCTTCGTCGTCATCCACCAGACGGCGGATCTCCGACAACGTCTCCTCCGCGCCCACCATCGAGACTGAAGAGCTCGGAAGCGGAACCACCGCGGGCAGCGGCGCCTGGATTAGGAGGGGGAGATTGTTCCTTTGGGCCGTCAGCCTCTGGACTTCTTTCAGGCATTCGTCAGCTACAGAGTCGAGCTGAATGACGATCGCAGAGAAGAGCTCCAAGAGGAGTTCCTCTGCCGGAAGGAATCGAGGAAACCGTCCACCCTGGCCTCGATCTCCCCCACCAGTGCGTCTGTTGGGTCGACCTCTTGTTCTCAAGCCCGTCGTTGCTAATCTCCTCCAATAGATCTGCTCTAATGGCCGTCGGCTCTTTCATCTCCCTGTCCAGCTGCTTTGCCCTGGAGTTCAGCCTAATGACAGCGACGATTCCACGGACAGCCAGATCCCACAAGGAGACGGCTTCCCCCGTGCTATTCTGCAGGAAGCTTTGCAGATTCATGCTGATAGTCTCTACGCAGTGAGGAAGGAAGGGATCGGAGAGAGAGAGAGAGAGAGCAATGGGTGCATTTTCTGCCTAGGGATAACAGGCGAGGGAAGTACATAGCCAATATACGCCAGCCATTTCTCATCTGCATCTCGAAGTTTGTCGGGTAGGAGCGTACAGCTCAGAGCACCGCTGGAAAGATCAGAAGCGGACAGCCTGGTCCAGACTTAGCTTCGCTGGCCCATAAGTTAACTTAGCTTCTTCTTTAAAAACATAATCGTATGGTTGTTGGAGGAGAAAGCAAATCTTAGCCAAAGGATAAAGAGCTAAAACATTAATCGTATGGTTGAGGCCTCAAGAAATCTCTTTGATCCCTTGCCAAAACAAATCCTCAACCGTTGAATGTTCTCTAATGATTGATTGTTTTCTCCCTTCCCCAACAAGGAAAATTAAATAAATTTAGCTTCTAAGTATCCTATATTCCTTACTATTAAATTTAATAATTTTCAGTCGGAGGTGATGTACTCACATTTTCGCGTTAAATAGGTCTTTATTAATGGTTTTTAGTTGTTTTATATACCACTATTCCCCTCTCTCTCTCTCTCTCTCTATATATATATATATATATCTATATATATCCGCTTATTCCAATGAAACCATTCAGGGGCAGCATTAGACTGGCTTACCAACCTAACTTCCCAGCCAAATCTATTCCAACATTCGCTGAGTTGGCCGCCAAGTTCATCAAGCAGTTCACAATAATATATCTATTTATCTCTATCTTGGGTCACAAACTCCTCCAGGGAGGATACCCAAAATAATGGCGTTATCAATTAACTCACATGTGGCTACATCTTGGCTATGTGTCGATCCATGTGGGTCGGGCACTGCAAGGTCTACCTCCACTCTTCTCCTCACCTTTGAGGAACTACCACCATCATGAAGATCTAACAACGATCAATTTACATGTACCCCTCAAGAACATCTATTTTTCTCAAGAACTCTAACAACATACCTAACAATCTTTTTTTTGTAAAATATGATAAATGCTTTATGAAATTAAGACGTCCCCCTCCTTTATTCTTTCTCTAAGACAATTTTTCTCTCCCTACCTTTCCATCACATCTAACTTTCCAAAACTCCCTTCAACAACATAAACAATGAACCTTAATTTGCAAAGTATAATTGTTGATTTGTGGGTTACCCATTGTAGGGTTTAAATTTATTTTTTCATTAAGAATTCAAGAGCACCACATTAGGGTTTGTTAGTTCAGGGTTGAACCAGGATGGATAAAAACAAGCTTGAGGAAGTTGAATTGCATGTTAACTATTGTAGGATTTGAGTTTAGTTTATGGCCAAGAATTCAAGAATGCCTCAGTAGTGTCTTTTTTAGTGATGAATTAAGATATATGTAGAAACAAGCTCAACAATTTTGATTTATAGATTACCTTATTTTAGGGTCTAATTTTATTTTTTTACTAAGAGTTGAAGAGAGCTACATTAGGGTATGTCAAGGATGAATTAGGAGGGATAGAAACAAGCTTGATCATGTTGAATGGCAAAATACCCATTATAGGGTCTGAACATATTTTGTGACAATGAGCTTCGCACGAGGGTTTGTTTGACAATGAACTAGCATGGATAGAAACATGTTTGACCATGTTGATTTTTGAATTCAAGAACACCGCATTAAGGTTTGTTGACTCAGGGATCAACTAAGATGAATAGGAGCAACCTTAACAATGTTGAATTGCAGGCTACCCATTGTAGTGTTTGAAGTTAGTTTATGACCGAGAAATTGAGACCATTTAATTAAGTATTTTTTAGGCATCACTTAGGATAAATAGAAATAAATTCAACGATGTTGATTTGTGGGTTACCTATTGTAGGGTTTAAAACTAGTTTGTGACTGAGAATTCGAGAATGATGCATAAGGTTTGTTTAGGGATGAACTATTATAGATAGAAACATGCTCGACCATGTTGAATTACCGAGTTACTCATTGCAGGGTCTAAAATTAGTTTGTGACAGAAAATTCAAGAACACCGCATTAAGTTTTGTTTATTCAGGGATGGGCCAGGATGAATATAAACAAGCTTGATGATGTTGAATTACAAGTTACCTATTGTTGGGTTTAAAGTTAGTTTATGACCTAGAATGTAAGAACGCCTCATTAGGGTTTATTTTAGGGTTGAAATACGATGGATAAAAACATGTTATACAGTGTTGGTTTATGGGTTACCAAGAGATCAAGAACGGCACATTAGGGTTTATTTGTTTAGTGATGAATCATAATAGATAGAAGCAAACTGGACGACGTTGACATACAAGTTATTAATTGTAAGGTGTGGGGTCAGTTTGCGACTGAGAATCGAAGAATACTGCATTCTGGTTTGTTTGATTAAAGATGAACTAGTATAGATAGAAACATGCTTGACGATGTTCTTTTTTGCCCATCAAATAAGAAAGAGCTTGACTCCCAATTCCAGGAATAGTACACTAATTCGCAAAGCTTATGTCGTTTAGGCCCGCTCTTATACTGCACCTATTTCCCATAGGTAGATGATCGACGTCAGACTCTGCAACAATGTATGAAGAGTATAAGATTAGATAGCTTAGATGGATAGAAGGAGGGAGATAGAGAGAGACAGGGGGAAGAGATATATACCGGGAGCAGTCGACGTTGGGGCTCATGGGGAGGTTAAGGCGAAGCTTGCAGAAGGTGAGCATGTGGGTAACGCGGCCGGGCTTGACCCCAAAGGAAGGGGTCGTCTGCTTGAAGCACTAGCAGATGGCCTTCCTCTCCGGGCCTGTCGCTGCCATCCGCCCCAGCGACTGCACCCTCTCGCAGCACTGCGCCGTCGGATTCCCCTCCCCGATTCCCGTTAGGTATCCCCCCGTAGGGCGCCATCGAACTCACCGCATCTCTGCACGACGGCGCCCATCCCCTCCCACCCCACATGCCCACCACCATCACCGCCACCACCACCACCACCACCACCACAAGGTTTCTGAAGATGGCAGCTGTGGTGGGCCCCCGCCCTAACACGTTGCCATGCGAGAATTGAAGATGATATAAATAAATGCCATGCCCATTCAACGTATCGATGTCTTTGCAATTTCAGGTGTTCTCTTTATATCCTTCATACCAAGCATTTTTTTAATATACTCACCCATTGTGTTCTCAAAGTCCTCCTAAAGGCCTGAAAGATTTACTAAACGAAGAGTTAAGTAGCTGATTCTTAACACCCCTCCTCGCCATCCCCATCAAAACAATTGTGCTTCCAAATTCCATATGGTCAGAAAATGGTACTAGAAGATAAGCTTTTTTAGCAGGGTGTGAAGAAATAAGCCAATCCCAGTCATCAACTCCTGATCAATTTCTGAGGGGAAATTAAATTCTTCTTCACGTACATTTTTGATAAGATGATGCCCAGGGTTGGTAGATTCTAGGATCAAATCATCCAGACTTAATCCTAATTAAGGCCAATTCGTAGTGAGTCATACAAAGATTGAGCAGTCCAACGAAGTCTGCTCCACTCAGCCACACAAAATGAGTCATATATTGGGCCTCAATACTTAAATGCCATAACCAGGTATCTGAATAGCTGTTGACATAGGATTGGTCAATCAAACTGATCCAATTACCTTATCCTGCTACATAATCAGATCATCCGTACCTTCATCTCTAGGGCCACTTCCCATCAATATTATGATGAGGAGAAATAATGTGCTACATGACAACTGAAACAATATATATATATATATATATTATTTTAGCTTCATTATTAAACAAACGAGTACAAAATCACTACTTTATCATAAAACTTGAACCTTAGAGAGTCAACCCACAAATATTAAATGACCTTACATATAGACCTAAACAATGCCAAAGACATTTATGGCAAAAAAGGAAAGATCAAAAGCATGTTAGTAATCAAGAGCCATAGAAAAAGAAAGAGAAGATCCTAGGATAGCCTATTCCCAGTAGAAAGCGAAGAAAAGGATAGAAAACATGCTTATCATTATAACCTCTTATTTGATTCCTAGTAAATTCAAGCTAACAAAGGAAACGATGCCATCCATGATAAAAACAATGAAAACGCTAGCCTGACGAGCATATAATCTGACTCCAAATGTTTTGATCCACCAGTCAGACGTTTTACTCAGTAAATCAGATGCACATATAGAACATTTAGTCAAGAATGAGAAATAAAAGAGGAAATCCAATCAAGCCAAACCAACCCAAAATATGGATACGATGAAAAAACAGTTAGGTATGGTATATATACTGCTCAGGTGCTGTAGCAGTACTTCTGTAGCCAGAATGTATTTGGAATGGAGGGAACACTACAAAACACAAGCTCATCATCAAGGAACATATTACGGTGAAACAGTGTTTGCAGGAGCAGTTGTACAAGTTTACCCCTATCCTAGCACTTCGGGCTCTCTGTTGACACTTAGTATTCCTTGGTACAACACCACCTGATCTGTCGAAACTTAGTATTCCTTGGCACATAGAGCAACCCTGTTATATGAGCCTAGGTCTGACTCCTTTCCTGCCAGTGATGCAGCAGCAGCCTCCACTCTTGCCGCCGCTTTTGATGATTTCTCCCTAGCGGCAGAAATTGATACCTGACATTGTTGGGGATCTTGCGGGAGAGAGAGGCATCGATGGAGGAAGCTACGGTGTGAATCTGTGAATGGTGGAGGAACCGGTGCAATTGTTGCTGGCGGTGTTGGGAGAGAATCCGGTGGAGCCATCCCTTGTTGGCCGGCACCCACATTCATTAGATGACTGAATTTCGGTGAGCTCCTCAACTTTGGAAGATTATATGACTGAATCCACATTAAATTAGAGGCCATATGACTCAAATACATATTCGAGAGGGCGAAAAAAGGGGGTAAACTTTGATCGGACGTCTTCATGGTCCCACTCTAATCCAGTCCACCATTCTTCTTCACCATAGATCCCTTCGATGTTCTTGGCAGTAGAGAGCCCAAAGGGTAGCTTCTTCAGCTCTGGACAGCCTGATACATATACTGTCGCCCGTATACTTTTTCACCAAAGATTACAGTGAAACAGTGTTTGCGGGACAAGTTGAACAAGTTTACCCCTATCCTAGAGCTTCGGGCTCTCTGTCGTAACTTAGTATTCCTTGGTACAACACCACCTGATTTGTGAAGTTTCACTATGTCTTTGCCTTGTATGACTCCTTTCAGCATAACATTGCACGATAGAAGCACCATGGTCATGAGGGCAGGCAGAGATAAAGCAGAATGGATAAACATCACAGAAGAACAATTAGGGTCTCATCTTCTTAATAAAAAAATTCATATTTAAAGGATAAATGTGCTATCCGAATTAGGGAATAAAGGAATATCCCAAGAAATTCAATGTGATGACTTTCTCCAAAGAAAATGCAACTAGAGATGCCTCTAACAAGATTTCAATCATTTGACTAAAACAGGAAGTAGTTTCCAGAATAGCTGTGATCAAAGCATTCCAATTTATTTGAGGATGAAGATCAAAGAAAATTAAAATAAAGACTAATTTAGTTTACGAGCAAGGAAGTCGAACTAGTAAGAAAACATAGTTAAATAGTATCAAAATAACCAAACTAGGAAAGTCGAAATAGATGTATGGAAAGATGAAAGCATCCCATACCAAATAAAACTAAAACCAGCAAAACTTTGTCTTTAATGGCGCTGACAAACATAGAAGGATATCAAAAACCCATGTGAGAAGATATGGGTCCCTGCAACAAGAATAGGAAAATCGAAAAAACCTCAAAGCGGGTCCCTGAAAGGAGATATGGACGGAGGAATACTGCATATACATATTGGACGCAATAGAGTATACTGGCCAATGAGAGATCTTTACATGCAAGTTCAAAATCAAAATGACGGTGACAATCCACAATGAAAGGAACGGAAAACTTACGGCCCTGCTCACCAAAGCATAAGAAATACATTGGAATAAAATCACTGATTCATATTATTCTATCGTTAATTGAGATTGCTCGGTAGAAAAGTAGGAGGACATATGTGGCAAGAAATGCAACCATTAACACTCGGTGGCCACATACTTCAATGCGAAAGGGGGCATAGATGGCCTCTTGAATAACCTAGACTCCTTCCACGCTCGAATAGAAGCAAAGAGAAAAATTGCACAAGACACCATTTACGTGTGATCATAAGATACATCCAGCGGATTTAAGCCTTGAAGATCCATATGTCGTATTTTGTACCCCTAAAGAGCAGAGCTCTGCATTCTCTAGACACCCAATCCTTTCAGGTTTTCAGGTCAATCACACTGCTATTCTACATGTCAGAAAAAATGAAATTTTTAACCACGAAAAACAATGGTAACAGTCGAGGTATCAAACATGCAAATAAACCAAGGGATTGTACAGGGAGAGTGTAGCACCATCTCGTAGACATGACGATGAAGATGATGGTATGATCCCAAAAAGATGACCAGGACCACAAGAAAAAGGATGATTATGACTAAAAGGGTCTGATTAGGAACATTTACGAGGCATAGCTGGAAGCACCACAAGATGATTAGAGAAGAGGAATATCGGAAAAAAAGAGGGTTATAAGTTAACAGATATGAAGAGATCCAATTCTAAGAACCAATGATCACAATTTCTTAAAAGATTGCACAAATATTTCATCAGTATCGGTGGCTCCAACATTCAACTATTGGCATGATGGTGCCGACTAATCTTCTTTTAAACTCCCAGAATAAACCAGTGCCCACACCAGTGTGAGTAATTCTAACCTTGTATTTGTATAGCCCGAATGCCAATTTCTTATCCTTTAGCATTTTTCTCATCTCGTAATAATATGCGTTGAGCTCTACTAATTTTTATTTTTTCAATATTTTTTTTAATAAAAAGATTAGTCGCTCAACGTAGCGCCTGGCACAATGGTTTGATTCCACCAAAATCCCCCCCCCCCCCACCACTTCTGATAGATAACAAACAACGATGCCTAAATGACTGGAACACATGAAACTGAGGACAGATATATAAAATCAGCCACTTTCTTCTTATAAACCAGGAAGGGTTTTTTTATCGACTGTTAGCTCTTTTTCAATGATTCAGCAGAAAATCCCACCAAATAGTGATCCCCAACTTCGATTTTTGTTAGGAGAAAACGCATTCTTTTATTCATATAGATTATTGCAAACACGTGTCGCAGTCAAAGAGAACTTGCAGGATAGAGAGCACAACAGGATAAGCCATGTACCGCGAATTTGTGACTCGGAGGGAAGGAAAGCCAGTTCTCCGGCGGAAGTTCTGTCCCAAAGATCTCTGCCGTGTCGGACACCAGTCTGAGACGGAGCCGGCTGTCGTCTCGTGTCTCCAACCTGAGCTCGCTTTCCTTTCCCAACTGGAACTGCCGCACGTTGCTGCCTCCCGCCCCCGCCGGCGCCTGCGAGGACGCCATCCCCGGTTCCCCCTTCCTCGGCTTGTCCTAATCGCCCTAATCTCTCTTTCTCCTCTCCCTTCCGCGTCAGATCAGGCGACGGAGGCGTCCACATAGAGCCGCCATTCTCCCGCCGGCGAGGACGCAGAGCGAGCGAGATAGCGGGCGAGAGAGAGAGAGGGAGAGAGAGGGAGAGAGAGACCGAGAGAGATCGTAGAGGTCTCCACAGCAAGCTCGAAGCCGGGGTTTCCCCACCTCCTGGACTGATCTATCTGACCAGTTCTTGGCGCCCCCCGCACTGAATTTAAACGTTATTACGACCATACGTAGGGTTTCATCTAATAATATGATACCATTTCTAAAAACGAAAATGGCTCAGCCCATCCAGCGCCGTCGAGTTGACCGGATGCATTGACTTGTTTAGTCAACTCCGGCAGCCCCCCGTTTATCGATTCAAGTGGGCTACCATCTAATTCAGTAAGAGGGAGGCGTAAAAAGCAAAAACAAAATGTTTGGGCACCAGTGTGCAACTCTCTGCAAGATGTTCACCAAAGGATTGGGTATATTTATAAATATTATGTCATTGTGGTTTAAACCGTAATTATTTGATGATTCTTAGGAAAACTTAGACGGTTTCATCTGATAATGCTATTTTTAAAAATGGAAATGATTCAGCTCACGTCAGCGCGTCGATCAGACCCCCCCACCCCAGTTGACTATGTAAGTCGACTCCAGCAGCCCCGTTTATAGTCTACGCAAATGGGCCACCGTCTAATTTAATAAGTGAGAGGCGTAAAAATAAAAAATAAGAAAGTTTTAGGTACTAGAATGCAATTCGCTCGCGTTATTTCTCGAGCTAGTTAGCCATATTTACAAATATCACGTCAGTGTGGTGTCAAAGCTATATACGATAGTTATTAAGAAAACTTAGACGGTTTCAAGTGAGTTAGTGTCTAATTCAACAAGAGAGAGGCGACCACGCTGACTCCTTTAGTCAACTCCGGCAGCCCCCGTTATTAGTCTACGCGAGTGGGGTTACTGTCTAATTCAACAAGAGAGAGGTGTAAAAAGCAAAAACAAAAAAGTTTGGACATCAGCCTGCAATTCGCTTGCAAGATGTTCGCTGGCTAGAGACGGACGGCTGGGGTGAAGCGTTGCTGGCCCAAGAGCTGGTCATACATATAAATAGTTATTCATTTTGGGGTAAAAATTAATATTGGGAAATGGCTTAGCTCCAGCAGACTCGGGTTAAATTCAATAAGATTAAGGGTTAAAAATAATAACGAAAAATTTAGATACCAGGGTGAAAATCACTAGCGAGAGTTCGCTTCCTGGGACAGAACGTGGGACGACATATTTTTAAATATTACGTCATCATGGTGTATAAATTAATTATTCGATAAATGCCATCTGATCATCATCTTCTTCCTTGGATCGCGAAGAAGCTCCAAACCCCCCCCAGCTCGAACCAGAATGTGGTCGATGTACAGAGAAGGTCTTCACAGTTGCAGCGGAGGAGGAAGAAGATGATGAAACGGAAGCTTCGGCGAGGAAGACTCGAAGGTACGGCGGCGCCTCCGTGCCCGGTATCTTCAGCAGGAAGGGAGGAGATCTGAATGCTCAAGATCCCCTTCAATCTCGCAGATTAAGTAATTATTACGATGATTTCTGAAAGACAGGAGAAAAAAAAGAATCTCCGGTCGTCGTCTTCTTTTTCTGCCTTCCGGTGGTTCCTGGTAAGGTGGGGAGAAAGACAGAGAGAGAGAGAGAGAGAGGGAGGGGGGGTGGAGTACGTCTTGCTCAGGCGACGGCCAATGGATTGGAGGATGCATTCATGCCGGCCGGAGGGCCCCGCAGAGCTCCCCCGTCTTCTCCCCCTCGAGAATCTCGGCCCTCTCCCATCATGTCCCCCGATGGTCCCCCTTCCCCTTTTCTCCATCATCGTCCGACAGCTCTCCTCGACTTCTCCCCGCCGCCGTGTCCCTACCCTCCGCCGCCGCCGCCTCATCGCCATGAAAGAGTAAGAAGCAGCAGAGAAGCAGAAGAAGAAGAAGAAGAAGAAGAAGAAGAAGAAGAAGAAGAAGAAGAAGAAGAAGAAGAAGAAGAAGAAGAAGAAGAAGAAGAAGAAGAAGAAGCAGAAGAAGCAGAAGAAGCAGAAGAAGAAGCAGAAGAAGCAGAAGAAGCAGAAGAAGAAGCAGAAGAAGCAGAAGAGGCCTTCCCGCGGTCTCGTATCCGAGGGAGGCTACGAGCCCAAAAAGCTTATATTTATTGTTTTAATAGATTCGACGTCTGGGCAAGAAAAAATTTAAATATTTCGACTAAGATCCAAAACCCAGACAAAATATCGGCAGAAAAAAAAATGAAAACTCGGCTCGTCCCTCCCATTAACAGTTTCTCATATCGAGAGAGAGAGAGAGAGAGAGGAACCCGGTCGTAATAAATCCGGTTTATTCTCCTCTCAATGGTCTGTGGGGGTCAACGGAAATGATGGCCGTCGAATCTGGAGCGGAGTGTGATCGCCCCTCTCTCTCTTGGTGTATGGTATGGGTGGTCCGCGCCGTGCTTTTATGACTCTACATAGTGACAGACAAGGAATGGGTGCGCTCCCAATCAGAGGAACTGATCTAGGGTCGTGTTCATTAGATAGCTTGCGACGATGCGATACGTTGACTCTGTGGGGTGGACGGCGTCCCAGAAGACATACTTGGTCGCGTCCTGACACGTCAGCGGTTGATCCGGCTTGCACACGTAGCCCATCTCGTACAGCCCCGTCGCGCAGCACCCGAGCCTAGAATTCTCGAACCCTGCTCACCGTAAAAGCAGTATAAGAAGAAGAAGAAGAAGAAGACCCTCCCTCTCAGTAACCAGAGGTGAGAATCTCCCCTCTCCGGCCAATCAGCAAGCTCCCCTGCTCTCGCAGATTCCGGCGGCGGAGTAGGAAGAGAAGAAGAAGATTAAGGTAGGAGGAGGAGGTTTACCGTAGGATTCGGGGCGGCTGATGATGTCGAGGAGAAGATCGTAGACGCCGGCGAAGGCGATCCTTGCGCCGGGGAGGGCGGAGTTGAGGTGGGCTGCGATGCTCTGGAGGCGCGAGTTGAATCCGGCGGCGACGCGGTTGTAATCCTCTCTGCAGCCGCCGGCGCCTGCGACGTTGGCGGTCCTGGAGATGGGCACGCAGCCGATGGGGGACAGCCCACTGAGATCGATCTTCCTCGCTCCCATGGCGTAGATCTCCGACACGAAGTCCCTGGCTATGCCCGCCACAAAGTCCTGGTACTGCTCCACCGTGAAGTGGGAGGACCTCGTGGGAATGGCGTAGTAATTCTCGATAAAGTCGTTGGTCCCCAGGCTGATCACGTACAGCGCCTCCGTCAGCGTCACCTCTGCCTGCTCCGCCCCCTGGAAGCTCCGCAGCCTCTCCCTGAACTCCTCGAAGTACTCCAGCTGCCTCCACAGCGGTATCACCTCCTGCACAAGGACGGTGGAAGAAGACGTCTTTCTCTCATCAGGCGGAGAAGGAAGAGGGTCTCTCAGAAATTGAACATCCATTGGTGGGTGGGTCGTACTTACGAGGACTCCGGCGGTGACGTTGTCGAACCCGGTGGCGGCGGAGGCGAAGGTGACGCCCGTGGCGAAGTCCTTAATGTCGTATTCTGGGTCGAGATAGGCGGGCACAGTGGGCTTGATTCCAAAGGCCTCGGAGAGGAAGTCTGTGGCGAGGCGGCCATTGCAGAACCTGCCTGTGGCCTTGCCGCCGGCGAAGTCACGACCGTAGGGGGGGAAATTGCTGCGGGCGATGGTGAGGATGGCGTTGTTGTTCCCGGCGTCAACGGAGGAGTCTCCGAAGACAATCACCGCCGTCACCTTCGCCGCCATTAAAGTCCACCGGGAGAGAACGAGGAGGAGCAGGAGCCAGTGGCGGAGAACGCCGCCGCTCATTTCCTCATGTGGGGGAGGCGGGAAGCTTACTGAAAGGAAGGTCCTTTTCCCCTTGGGGACATTTATAGTAATGCTTAATAGTTACTGAGAATGGTCCTTCACCTTCACGTTCACGTTCACCTTCACTTTCCTCCCCACCCCGTCCTTCCTCCCGCTCACAACCAACATGCCTTTCTCTCTCTGGTTGTCTGTAGCGGGAGGGGACTCGGCGTGGACTTGAATGGTTTAGCCAACTGCCGAATCGGCCGAGGTTTATTCGTACCGACCAAACCATCACTGAGTTCATTTACTCGCCTTCCAAATTTTCAAACTTGGCCAAAGCCTTCGATTTCCTACCTCCCTTCGCATCTATTTATTTACCGTGCATGGGCAAAATGCCAACCTCTCTCCTCTCTCTCTCTCTCTCTCTCTCTCTCTCCCTCCCGATCTCTCTCTCTCGCTCTCTCTCTACGGCCGCCCATCCGCCGAATATTAGAGGCAATGGGTGCACTTGTTCTCTCCGTCTCAATTTCTCTTTGCTTTCTATGCTTCACATACCCACTTAGCAGTAGGCGAGATCGGCCTCCATGCCGCCTTCACTCATTGTTTGTAAGGCGCATTTCATCGATCTGTTCGCCGTTGCTTTAGCCTCCCACCATAATTCTCCTCCCTCCCTCCCTCTCCTTCTCTCGTCTTCTTCTCGTGGTAAGAAACCCGCCGTGATTCACCGATGCTCGCAACAACTTACGGTACGAGAAGCACGCGGAGGACATTAATAACCGCTGCCTCATCTTACGGAGAAAAGCGAAGAAAAGGACCATCTTTGCCGAAGACTCCAACGGGACCATGGTGATCTGACGACCGCCGTGGGTGCGATGTACCTCCATTTACTGCTGCATCTCCTCCCCTCAGGCCCCCGGACGCCTTGCACCTTCCAATCTCTTCTCCAATCTCCACCAGATTTACTCTGTTGGCGTCAACAGGCCCTCCCAAGCAGGCCACCATGGACTCCGGGAAGCTCCTCGGGGCTACGTGATTAGCCGAAAAGAAAGACGATCGACGCTAGATGATGATGGACTGGGCATCTGTGCTGCATTCATAGGCATATTAAATGCCCCTCTGATGGGCATCTGATGCTCATAAGTACCTGAGCTGCATTTAACTTATTCAGATTCAAGAGGCAGGTTGTGAAATTTATCGGACGGTTAAATCTTTTCACCGAGGCGGCCGACTCAGATCTGCATGGGAGTGAAGCTCACCGGGTTAATCCACGGGCCAAAATAATATAATACGCCCTTCAATCCCCTGGCAAAGATGAGGCCCATTGTAGGAACCGAGAGGTTAGATTTACTGTCATCGTTGAGAATATAACAACATAATGAGAATATTCTGCCCATCGGGTGTAGATTTTTGATACGTGAGGTCCCATTTCCTTGATGGGTGGTTCATAAATATTGGCTACGGGGGAACCCCACGCTGCTTACGGCTGCCCAGTCCCCTCCATTGAAGAGATCTCCAGGGTTCCCAGGGCTCCCAACGTAAAACAAACAAGATGGGCTCTACTTGCGCAGACCAAAACAGCAATGGGGACCTCAAACTGGGGCTTACCGTTTAAAGCCGGGTCAAGAACACAGCAAAGGGTGGGTGGGGTGGGGGAAGTGTGTTGTGGGGAGACAGCAGACGACACTGAGTGCAGTCCTCCTGACGAGACGTGTTGCCCAACCTTAAGAACAACATCGGAATAAAAGAAGCGATCTCATTCATGTCCCAACTCAATGCGCCTCAAGTTTAGTTGGGGAGCAGCTCCCCCTACATCCCTCTCTCTCTCTAGCTCTAGCTATAGCTCTGAGTGATCCAGCACTACTGGCAGTATATGATCAGTGATTAAAATAAGTCGCGCACTCCAAGTGTCTCCACGAGCTCGTCGCCATGCGGGTGATTGAGCTTGCGCTGGTGTACGCGACTCCGAGGCACGTCCGTCCATGCATCAGATCCTTCTCCCTACGAGATCCCTTCCTTCGTTGGAGTGGGGGAGGGATAACGCCAAGGGAGGACTCGATCTCCGTAGGAATCTTCGGAAGCTTTACCAGTTCACTTCTCAGGAAGGCGAAGGCGATCGGGAATGCTTCCTATTCTTCCGGAGGATAGTTCGAAGAATTGGAACACTAACTGTTCAGGCAACCCCAAACTTCAACCCTTCCGATGATGAACTCTAGATTTGAACATTCGAATCAAGAACCGAAAGAAAGATGAGCCAAGCCCTGCACACCCACCCCCCCGTGGGAGCCCCATGTCGGTCTTCAAGGAGATTCTGCCATGCAGGCTATAAATCTCTCTCTCTCTCTCTCTCTCTTGGAAGGATGCATGTAAACGCGAAAGGCGGGACGGTCCGGCTCAGGTTTAGGCTTCTTCCTACTGGTCCAACCTGCAGCTAATTTTGTAGGACCCTGGCCAGAGCCACGTAGCATACAGGTGGGCTAGGGATTTGGCGAGGCCTGATTCACAACTCCCCCTGCCCCCTTAAGAGTTGGATTGAGAGCCCTTTCTCACCCATGATGAAGATAGAATCTACGATAACTCAACGGCCGAGCACCCACAAGTTCGTCGCCTACTATAACTTTAGTTAGCCAAGCCTGATGATCAACTGCTGAGCTCTGATGGATCACCGTGATCAGTTCTTTCTTCCGCCTTGGGTGATCCACCCACTTCCCCGACAATAGAAAAACGAATCATAATACTGCTGATAATAGCATGGATTAAGAGGCGAACATCGTGCAGATTAGCCGAGAATGTTCAAATTAGCAAGTACTGGTTCCTTCAAGAACATATGTACACAACCCCATTGAGAGGGTGCAAGAGATCAACTATTGTCACTAGATCATTGTGACTCATAAGATGGAAGCATAATACTGCTGACAATAGCATGGATTAAGAGGCAAACATCATGCAGATTAGCCCATAATGTTCAAATTAACAAGTACTGGTTCCTTCAAGAATATATCTTCACACCCCCATTGGGACGGTGCAAGAGATCAACTATTGTCGTTAGATCATTGTGGCTCATCAGATGGAAGCATAATACTGCTCGTAGTATCATGTATTAAGAGGCAAATATCATGCGGATTCTTGTTAAACTTACGAAATACTAGTTCCTTCAAGAATATAGATGTGCACAGCCCCGTGGGAAGGTGCAAGAGAGAGACTGTTGCAGAATATCTGTAGATATCTGCAAGGCAAGAGAGGAGGGGCCAAGCTGTCAGTGTGACAAGACGGAAGATGACACTTCGAAGAAGGAAAGGGTTTAGCGCCGCTTCCACGTGCGCATATGGATGCCACCTAGGGGGGCGGAGTCGAAAACAGAGGGCTGACAGGCTGCCTGAGCCGGCGTGCTCAGCCAGTGGACGATGAACAGCCGCCGCTGCTGCTGGATTTGGAGATGGTCAGAGCACTGGCGACAGCAGGGTTCTTCAGAAATTTTGGCGCAGACTTCCCAAAATTCATAAGCTCGATCTCCAAATCGACGCAGTGCGGCATTCGAAAGATGGTATTTTTAGGGAATAGCATCGAGTTACGTGGATACCTACGTGGCAGTCCCCTCAACCCCCCCCCCCTTCCTCCCCCGGAACAGTCGCCGCCGTCGGAAACGCCGTAGATGGACCCCACAGTGAAGCCAGTTCTTGAAGAGAGAGGCCTCCGGCGGCGAAAAAGACCAAAAAAAAAATTTCTCCCTGAAGGGGAAGACCTGAGCTAAGACCAAGGAAGCCAGAAGCCGCTGAACAGCAAGAACTCTCAGACAATGCACCGAGAAAGCCAAAGGAAATCGAGGGCTGAACCATGGAGGGAGGGAGAGAGAGAGAGAGAGAGGTGAGAGAGGGGAGTGGGCAGAGAGAGACAGAGGGTCTGAAGGAACGGAGTGAAAGTGAGATAAATCAGATAAAAGGGATGGAGGTATTGCCGTAGCTGGCTCTATTTTCCCGTAGTGGCTCAGAGAGAAGCTCCCCTCTCCCCAGCCGTTCGCCTCTGCAGCCCTCATCAAGGTTCCTCTTCCAGCCATCAACGGGACACAAGTTTCATATCGTTTACTAATTTGAGAGGTTTATTATATTTTATCGATTTTTCGGCGGCTTAGTGTAAGCAGTTATGGTATAACCTACGAAAACTATTCATTTTTTCATGAGTTTTCTACGGTGATAAGGTTGACCCACTCGCCCTAGTTTATGTTTGATAAGGCTCCATTGTTTAGCTTGATTAGCTAAATAAGTCAACTAACCTTTTCAAGTGGTCATGATTTTCATGTTGCTAAGACTTTACATGTTTTTCGCTAAGCACGACTTTAGATGTACTTTGTCCTGGCTTTTTGGATCATTTATGGTTTGATGACAACAAAATAGCTATAAGGATAAAATTTTAATTTTACAATGTCATTAAATATTAAAAAGATATTAAAATATTTTTGCAACTCTCAAAAAAGTCCCACATGATAAAATAATTCTTTCTTCCTATTTTTAGGAATTCAATCTTCCATCTTATTACATGAGATCTGACACTCATAGTGAGGAACTCACCACTGATAGGTAATAAGAAATTATTAGGTGTCTAAATACCTTGCCCACTAAGTCACCAATGTTTTCTTTCTAGACTTATTGAATAGGAAGTAAGTCAACTCAGTTGATATAATCATGGAATGGTGAGGCTATATTATTCAATGACCTAAATCATTCTAAATGAATATAGCCATCAAATTAAGGAAAAAAGTCAGGCATAAAATAGTTATTTTACATCACCATCATAGTTGAATATCAATGTGATCGCAAAATGTGCCCAGATACATTGAAGAAGCTGAAATACGCTCTATGTATGTTATTTTATATTTTAAAGTAGTGTGGGTCTACATAGAGGGGATAGAGAGAGAGAGAGAGAGAGAGAGAGGGGGGGGGGTTAATCATGACAAAAGATGACAAAATAGGGCAGATGACAAGAAACAGTCCTCATGGGAAAATTGATTTCTGACGTTACACAACCACTAAAAAATACCAAACATCATGAAAAGTTTAGAAGTATAAAAGGATTACTCTCTCTAGATTCAATAAGGAAAATTCATTCAAACCAGAAAATCAAGAAATCTACAAAGATATTCCACAACTAAGAGTGGCTTCTACACCATCAATCAAATAAATGACACCATCAAGATGTTACATTGCAAAACGTGTAAGTGTGATAATTAGTTCTTATTTTTTTGTGAGTACTTCTAGTACTCGAGCGGACTTAAAAAGAATCGAAAAGGGATTAAGTGGGGACCTAAAGTCGTGAACTTAAAAATAACTAATGAGGTACTAATTTAATTGGTTACTTAGATATATGAATTTAGAAGAGAGCTCTAGGGTGCAATAATAAGTTGGCACAAACCATTAAATCTAGTGAAGGCTTGCTGTAACCTTTGTATCTAGTGTAACTCATTAAAGAATTAGTGGAACCTAAGGAATAGTTATTAATAGGTTGGTTAGACCAAACCACACAAAAAATATGTCAATAGATTTTTAAAAAGGCTTGAGAAATTTTAGATATTATAAATAAATCAATACCCCCCTCCTCATTTGGTTCCTCATATTACCTTAGTATTATAATTAACAAAATGGGCAGGTAAGAATGAGCCTACTAGTAAAATAAAATAAAAATCTTCTTTCTTAACCATATGGATAATTTTACTCTCACACCTAAAAAGGAGGAGACTTAACCTAATTTATCACACTAAGAGACTAGTCAAGTCATAATAGGAAAAACAACCCTCAATTTTAAGAAAATGTATTTAAGAGTACATTAGTAATTTTAGTCTACAAATTATTCATATATCTTTTGTGACCCTTGAAAACATTTGATTACATTGAAATTTTCTTACAAGTTTGTGTATTATTTTCATACCAAGAAGTGAGCAGACTTTGAGTTGACCTGTTGGTAAATAGTCAATTTAAAGGGTATATTGTTACAAGAGAAATTAAGAAAAATGACCCAAAAAAAGTTCAAAATACCCCTAAACTAGCTCTTGTATGTGGGTTTTCATGTTTTTTTTTGTATTGATAGAATCAAAACAAAAAATAGATGTATATAAGAAAGATTTTCCACACTACCTGAAGTAGGAAAAATCATTCAAGGATTGGAGTCAAAGATTTACTTTCATGCACTCAAGCACCTTCACATCTGAAGATGCTTTGAGTGCATGAAACTAGGAGAAAGCTAGTCGAAATTTGTGTTCAGCATTTTCACAACATTAATTTAGCATAACTTAAGAATAAGGTACTAGAAGAGTAGAGTAGTCCAAGCGGGCAGAACCATAATATATCTTGTTCTCATAATTTGGATAGAAACTAAAATCCAAGAATGATTGGAGAAAGACCTGTTCAACCCCTTAGAAAAAGACCAACTCACCCTCCACCCAATCAATGAGTTGAAAAGAGAGATGACAAAATATGGGACATCGTTTCATTTTGTACATAATTCAGTTATTTTATTTGATATCAATGGCAAAAGTGTGTCATACAAGATTATATTGTCTCTTACAATTAGTTCAATTTAGGTACTTTGTTAGTAGATAATATTTATTATCAACCTTTGATGTTGCATCTGTCTAATCTTGGAAGAAAAGTGGAATATGACACATTGTGACATTTTCATCTATCAATCGAAAATACTTTTCATTTGAAAGGTAACATTTGCTATCACCATATTTGAATCAACTATCTATTTTATTTCTCTTCTTCAATAATTTAGCACTCTTTCACATATACAAAGGCACAACCTTTATGAATTGATGATTTACTTGAAACAACTACAAGGAACATTTTCGTGTATTTCATGCTAATCAATCTTCTATTATGTTTGATAAGCTCTTAATAGTAGGGTCCATGAATCACATATTCATGGAAAAGGGCCCATGAGGTAAATATGATCAAGGATTATGCAAGATGGTCTTTGCACACAACTTTCTTCATGTTGCTGAAATCACTTAAGATGTCTTTCCATCTAACCCCATCAATTATTTATCCAATGAGCTCACAAATGGAAAATCTAGTTATGAAATATCCTACAAAGAGCATGCTTTCAATACACATGAGGTAAAAATCATGACTTCCATATATGGATACTGGTGATATGTATCACACAAAGAAAGCTTCTAAATATTGACATGGGAAAAAAACTTACAATGTCAAATTATATCTCATAGTAGCAATCATGATTCCAATCTGATCGATTTCTATCGTTTTTCTAATGTTGTTGCTCAATGCTTTTCCATGACAAGCTTTTGGCTTGTCTATTATCAGGCTTTTGTTCTGATGAATCTTCCAAGTTTTCTTCAAAAACGTTTGTGATTAACTTCTTCAAGAACACATACTATAGATTCAATGCTCATGCTAGAATAAGATATTTATTTATAGTAGTTTTGGCTTATATATGTAAAGTTGGGAATGATGCAGGTTAAGTAATGTGAACCATGTTTCAAAAATCGTATCACAATGTGAAAGATGGTCAAATATTTGCCATAAAACGCCAAAAATGGCTGGTTCATAAATTTTGTAATAACGTTTATTTCCCTTGAGGTGTTGCAATAAGCAATTTTCGAAAACAAATTGATACTATATTCATAGTCACTCTCTCACCTTCCCAACACACCTAGTCTAGTCACTCTTCCCCATAAAAAGAGTATCACTCATATCCAACAAGTTAATCTATCAATTGGGCATCCTCACCAGATCAACATTAGAATTTAATCCTCCACCATTCAACCTCAGATATTTTTTTTACCATTTAACCCCTAACATCTCAACCAGCATCCCACTTTGTGCATTCTTCCACTCCACTCCAAGATGTTTACATGCACAACATGTTGCCCATCTCCATGAGCAATAATACCCTCTTGCAGATGAATCATGTCCTTGTTAGCAACATGATATGCACCACCAACAATATAATAAGCATGCTGCATCTAGGAGATTAATATGATGTAATGCTGCTAAAATTTGGACAAGTAAAGATATATAAAACGGAAGAGTAGGCCTCCAAGAGAGCTTGTGGAGAAAGAATTGATGGGTGGAAGGCAGCTACATGTAAGTCAGGGGTGATTAATTTACATGAAATAGCTAAAACTGAGGAAAAGGGTAAGTAGAGCTCAAAAAGACAAAAATATGAGCAGCAACAGTTTGAGAAACTCAAAGCCTCATGATGATCAAAGCCTAGCTACCTCGGTCGCACGCCACATCGAGCAGGCTCGTGTGTCAAAAAAAGGAAGAGCACAGCAGGCTGGTGGGTTAGCCAGGTTCAGCGGCAGCTATGTCGGTGGGAAGAACCTGTTGAGGTTGAAGGGAAGGGAGTAGAACTCTTCGTTCCTGTTGTCTCCTCTGAAGGTCCTAAATTTCACCCACCAGGGCATCCCCCTGTCCTTCTTGCTCTTCTCAACGTCCAAGGTGTTGTCCAAGAAGACGGCCACAATCAGTCCGACAGTCGGTGGCGACAAGAAGATCGTGTTGAGAAACCCGTTGAACTGCCGATAAATCAAAGGTATACCTTTAGCACTGAGGAGATTCTGATCGACATAGCCATTCACAGAGTGGTGGGCAATTGCAATTGAAACAGAATACTAACCCATCCTGAGCGGGTGTGAACTGGGCCGTGACCGGAGGAGACCAAAGAATCATTGAAGTACTGAGGGACTGATATGCCAAGAAAGAGCGACAGACCAGTGATGATGAGATTTCTCATTGAGTTCATGTTGGTGAACTGAAGGAAGGATAAGCCAACAGATGCTGCAAGATTTCACAGGAAGATGCTATCACTGCAGGCAGAAAAGATATGTGTTTCCTCTGTAGCCAATCGATATGCTTACCCACAAGGCCAAAGAACAAGCAGTACAAAGCAGCAAAGATAGGGAACGGAATTGATGCAAAAATCGCCCCAAATTTGCCTGCAAGAAAGGAGCACTTCGAGTGAGAGTGGAGCATAAGGTGCCACAGAAATTGTGAAGCACCACATTGAGAAACCCAGACCCAAGATGGAGAAGAAGATCATGAAGCCAGCTGAGAGCTGAACGACTCTTCGGCTGCCGACTCGAGTTATCCCAAGAAGCCCAACATTTTCTCTGAAATTCGAAAAACCCATGTCAGAATCATCCTATATAGGTTGCTAAAAAAAGGCATGAGGGAACCTCTGTGGAGACGATGGTCCTTACACAGAGACTGTAGAACCTGAGACTGTACCGAAAAGGCCATCGAGCAAAACACCTATTCCCTGCAAATGCAGCAATTGGATGAACAACAAAAATAAATGTGCTTTTTTCACCAGTTAATACTCAACAGCTGATATTTGGAATAAGCTACAAAAGTGAAAAATACGAACTACAAAATATCTGTCATCTAAAAATTGACAACCCTATCTTAAAGCAAAACGTCCATCAACTTTTCATCATGACGTGATTTTCATAGTACAGGCAGGATATCTTCCTAGAAAAGTGAAGCTCCTAACCAGTGGAACAGATCATATCATGCATGATCTTAGGCCCAGATCACCACCTAACCTTTAGTAGAGCCAAAAATGGCATTCTCGTCTGTAAATGTCAACTTCTCTTTCAACAAAGAAACTGAAAACCAAATCTTATAACCGGAAAACAACGATCTTCTCCTTTTTCTTGTTTTTACTTTTAATTATCTTTCTATCTCAATACTGACTCGGCATATTCCTAAGATAACAAGAGAAGAACAAGCATATCTGTCGCCTGAAGAATATGCCATAGTATAGTGGCTGCTTAAGATGATTTCCAGGTAGCTAAGCTAACTTCTGTTGTACAGTGACCCAGTCATAGATGGCAAAAGTAGTATAGCAGCAAGAAAAACAGACCAGAATAGAAATACGATACAAAAGTGCATCAACCAATATTATTATTTTTAGATTAATTTCAGAGTTTACCTGCCAGCCAATACCTCTACTCAGGACATACGCAGGTGGAGGTGTTGCAATAGCCAGTCGAGATGCTGCCTTGTATGCACCTGTTGACTGCATACACAGAAAGGGCAAAGGCAGGGAGCTACTGATTGGCGCCAACAAAGAAAACACTCAGTAGCTATGGATGGGCAGATGGGCATGTCAAGAGAGGATATGAATGCCATGATGATGTACTAAGAAACAAAAATGTACTCGTATCCCAATCAAAGCCAAAAAGTCGCATGCATCAATGAAGAAATGTTGGGGAATACCTCTACAAGTGAAACCAGGACAGCTGCCATCATAGCAACACTATGACCAGCATCAAATGTTGGAGGACCCCATTGCAAAGGATATGGAAACTTGAACCTAGGGAAAAGGAAACATGATCTATATAAGATTGACGGACACTTCCGATCAAACACACCATATCAGCAGAAGCTTTACATACCAAGGAGCAGAAGAGATGAGATTAGCTCGGTCTGTACGGCAACTATCTTGAGTTCTTTCAGATCTATGCTTGTATGCACCTCCAGCTGTTAAAATAATGGCATATATCCAAATAATAGAAACGCTGATGAGAACTGGAAAGCGCTCAAAAATTGGAATCTCTTTAAGTGGCCTACGGTGCTTCAAATACTGCATTTTAGAAATAGTAAGTTGCTGTGAGTACTAAAGACGTTCTTCAGGAAGGCAATTATCTCGAATAATTTATTTCTTTTTTTCTTGGGGGGGAAAAAAAGCAAACTGCATACCTGTGACAAACCAATTGTCAATAGGAGCATTGGTATCCCAATTTCTACACAATTACCCACCTAAGTACAAAGAATGGCAGCACATATGCTTTTAGAAGAAGTGTGCTTAATCTTAATTATAGCGTGTCCAACAGTAACTGACTTACTGCAGGAAAGCCTCGTTCAAACAGCCCCAAACCAACCAACGCAATCACAGGTGCCACACCCAGTGGACTAAAAAACCTATAGTCTTCCCATAAAAAAATTAAATTTGATTAGAGGTCATGTGAATCAATATAATTTAACGAGAATGAATTCAACTAAAAGATACCTTGAAAATATTCCCCATAACTGGCTGTAACCAAGAATGATTTGTAAACTAGAGGCTACTATTAGTGCCCCTTGAATTGCACGCATAGTTTGTATAAACCGCTGCATATTTAACAAATTTGAGCAAATCTCACTTCCTTGACAGTTGCATCACAATAGGATGACAAAAAAAAAAGAAAAAAAAAAATTCAAGAACATACCTCATGTGGATCAGAGATCCGCAACAGTGAGGAATCCCGTATGATGTGAAGGATGGGGATAACATATGAAAACGAACCCCCTACGACAGTTGGCAAGCGTGTTCCAAATAATGCTTGAAGGAGAGTATTTATCCCAGATACAAACAACAGTGTTTGTATGACTCTTGCCTTGTCACCCTATATTATGTGAATAAGCATCAAAAGGACAGAATAGATAGAAGTTAGGCAAGAAACTTCACAATATTGTAATGACGGTCTTTGCTAAGTGCGATGGTTTAGGCTTACATCAGTGCCACCCATCATCGGTACAAGCATCGAAGGAATCATAACTGTTGTCCCAAGCATTAAGATGTAATTTTGGAATGCCAATAAGATAGTTTCAACTGCATGAAAAAAAATTAAAAAAAATCAAGCACATGAAAACTTGATCAAAAGACTAGATAGGTACTCAAGCAACGAGGAGCAAATTCAAGCTGAAGTTCACAATAATATGTAAGGGTAGATACGAAACTGAAAATAAATAAGCACAAGAAATTGCGAAAATTAACAAAGATTTGGATAATGGAATATGCATAAAACATGAGCAAGGAACAGATACCTCCTCAGCCAGCAAGGAGAAAATTAAAGATGAATTTCACAATAATATGTAAACTTACGGACAAACATGTGAATTTCACAAAGAAATTAAGGAACAAAAATGAGCAGCTCAACCAAATTTTAAAAAATGGCAACAGAAGCAAGTGGGTACAGCCCATAAGAAGTACAGCATCAACACAAGAAACAAGACCTTCCAAGATACTCTTCGCATTATACCCCATTTGAATTATAATATATTTAAAATAATGAAGTCTTAGATACTCGTCTTTTATGTTAATATGGTAGATATTATAAGTGTTAATGGGATAGGCAAGCCCAGCCGGTAGTTCCAGGGCTTGGGCTTCAAAATCCGGCCTCATTGAATGTTAAGGTCAGACCCAACCTGGACACCCATTTGGCAGAGTATCCAGAAGCCTACCAAAATTACCATGGGGTCAATTATATGCCATAAAGAGGATCAAATAACTGCACTCTGATATTTAAAATTGATGCATACAACCATCTCCTATATGTATGGAATCGTCACATCAAAATGCCATATTCCATCACAGGATATAATTTCCCAGAAGAGGATCACACAATACTCCAGAAGATCATTTCACTGCACGAAAACTAGACCAGAAAACATGGCCAGATATGTGTAAATTCTTTTCAGAATTTTCTCTTTCAAGAAGGAACGAAAATATGCTCGAAGCAAGTAAGCACATCCTGTTGGATATTCATTCAATAATATAAATTCTACAGATCCAGATGAACATAAAGTTAGGATACTGAAACCACCTGATGCCTGGATTGACCTTCACATGGTTCTACCAAGACTAATGTGAGCATCCACTGTAGGGCGTAAGGTGGGTAAAATAAAATCAAACATAGATCAATGCCTAGGGACCAAGAATTGTTACAACGGAGACAAATAATGCAATCGAATCTGACGAAGAATTGTCCATATAGAGGAAAAACAGGAAGTCATTTTATGTACGTCTGCATGTTTATTCTTCAGATACCACACATTACATGTCGAGTGATCTGCCAAAAAAATTACATAAATTGGGAACGGTAGCTTCCCAATTAAGTCCAATAAGGTAATTTCCCTGATGGTGGAAAGAAAAAGCAGAATATAAAAAAAGTATGACGGCCAAGAAAGAACAGATATTAGTTAGATGATGGCTACATGCTCCCAAATCCCAGGAAAAACAGCATTTAATAGCACTAGATAAAACGCAATTTCAAGCGCAATAAGTTACAATCATCACCAACTAGACCTCTAAGAATAAATTATTCTTTCCCTTTTCACCATAACTACACATGTGTATAAGCATCGAGATAAGGGCAATGACTTAAACAGAGTATGCAAGACCCACGTGTTCAGCCAGCAGAGCTGTCAGCCTGTATCTTTTCGTTGGCCTCAAAAAGTATCATCTGCCAACCACAAGTTAGTCTTGAAAAGAGCACCTATTCATGCACCGAGGCAATCACTACCTCGTTTTTTACTGACAGCTTTTACTTTAATAATTACTGTCTCATTGTTCTTGGACGAGAAGCATATTCAGCTTTACATTCAGAAAAATAGTGATGGAGAAACCAAGACCTAGAGGTAAAAATCTTGAAAAAGAAAAACAGAGGAGAAACGGGCAGAGAGCAATTTCCCAGTTCTAAATTGCAAAAAACATCAAGTCTCAGAAGAAAAAAAAAAAACGAAGCAAGGTAGGATCTAAAAAAAAAGGTTGCGAAAGTGATCTACAACCGAGATCTTATAGCCACATATAGAGGTTGAGAAAGTGACAGCATCCCCTTCTGCAAACATACCATGTGATCAAACACATTACACTAGAACAGTAAAGAAAGCATCCCAAAAGAGGAAGAGGAATCTAGCTGAAGCCAGCATTCAAAACAGCACTCTCCCACGCAAAAGAAAATAACATCTGAGCCCCGATGTGGTACCATTATTCCACTAATCCTCTGAGAAAGGCCATCCAACACTTTTTCAGCGAGTTACAGTCGATATATTGCTTTTCACAGATATCCATTCAACTCACAACGAGACAATCTTGTGCCACACATCTGTCGGTGCTTGGTTCGGATGCACCAGGCAGATGTATGGCTTGGGACGCATGCGTTAATTGAAATACATGTCCAACATTAATACCAATAATAGCACTCGGTACTCATGCTCCCTCTCCCTAGTCCTGTCCATCTTCAGCTGAAGCAGGTTTTTTATCTTGAAAAGGTCAAACAGATTTATATGAAAATAAACGAATGAAAAACGAAGAACAAAAACGGAAGTTTCACCCACATCCACCACAGAATTTCATAGGGTTGGACCAGCGATTCATTATAAAATGAATTTAGTCATATCAATGCTCAAGGTATGGTAACCTTGTCAGAATAAGAAATGAATACACGGAAATAAGTGATATCTTATATGCTAACCTTCTCAAATCTGAAACGTTTCTTCTAAGTAAGCACTAATATTAGGTAGCCAATAACTTGCTGAAATTTTAAGAATTGAACAAAATCAACATCACATGATTGCTAAAAATAGCTACTTTGGGTGATTACTTTCGGTGAATTTCCAGAAACTTGGGATATAGAGAGAAATTGCAGAGATTTTTCTGGAGTAAGTGGACTGCTCATTTCTGTACTTCAAGAATCTAACATACGACCGACCTGAACCTGATGTAAATACAAAAACTCTGTGACTTTATTCGCGTAGAAAAGAATGTGCGAGCGAGCTGCTGGAAGATCAGCATGGTTGAAAGAAAAAAGAGGTCAACAGCTATGGACCCAAAAGGACGACAGACATAAGATGCAAAGGATGCCTTAGAACGGCAAGAAAGACGTAACAGAAAATTTCTATACAGTATAAATCACGAACACTCTCACTCCCAAGAGAAAGAATGTCCACAGCGCACCCCCCTTAACAGAGGAACAGGAAGCAAAACAACAAGGGCAATGCTGGGTGCACGGGTCAAGGAACTGTCAGAGAATGCCCATAGGCTAATGAGGCATCCCCAAGACCTGGTCATGTCAGTCTCTACCTCTTACAAGCATGTGATCACATTTCTTTCTCACATCCAGACAGAATTTGATCCCCTTGCCGACATACAGATGTCAGAAGTTCATGAAGAACATGCTAAATGCAGGAAAAGCTCATTTGTCTGTTCCTGCCACTGAGGAAAAGCACTGGAAGCAGTAGCTCTTGGAGAAGACCATCCCCTAAGCAAATCGTGCCTAGAAATAGAGCGAGTGCAGTGCATCTCAAGGTTACCCACAAATCGGGTGAAAGCACAAGACAATATAGAAGATTATCATGCCCATGGAGATAAGCCGATTTGTGATCTCTGCAACGTTCTTCGACGGAGATGGAAGAAATAACATGGCGGCCACTTGTGATCTCTGCAGCAGTTTGGAAATCACTGAAGACAATGGGATGGTCCCTTCCCTTGCGGGAGAGACCGATGAGAAAGCAGCAGCATTTTCCCATGCGACGAGAAGAACTCGGTGACAGGATCAACCACTACGGCTCCAATGGATATGATGACGTGAACGTGAGAGCGAATACGTTAAGGTAGGAGTAGCATTAGCATGCACGCAGAGGAGGAGAGAGAGAGAGAGAGAGAGAGAGAGAGAGGGCATACTCCAGGGAGGATTGGAGTCTATGCAGTACTCAAGGTCTTGAAGCTGTTCCATGGGCGGGTGACTTATGTCCGCCGCCATTGCAGAAAATTCTCCCCGAAACGAATACCCTGTGCTGAGGCAAAACGGAAGAAGAACAGGAAGAGGAGGAAGCAGAGGAAGAAGGAAGAAGAAGCAAGCCGCAGAAACGGAATAACCCGATGCCGAAAGGAGAAGGAAAAAGGCAAGGGGAGAAAGGTGGCCAAAGGAGAAGAGATGCGGAAACACTCTCCTTAAACAGGAGGGAGAAGAGCAGAGAAGAGAGAGAGAGAGAAACAGTCGCCAAAGTGTTCACAGAGAGAAAGAGAGGCGGAGAAGAGGAAGTAGTAGTAGTAGTAGAAGGAGAAGAAAGCCTCTCTAGGATTCCCCTCCCCGTTCCTCAAAACTCGCCTCCTTCCCAAGGACAGAAGGCCACCACCTCTTTTTGAAATTCGCATGCCGCCATGACAGAACCGTCCCCCTCTCTCTTCTCTTATTTCGAGACTGCCCCCATCTCCCTCTCCCCCCGCAGACATTATAACTGCGCCAGCTTTCCTCTCCCCCCCCCCCACCACACCTGCAACTGATCCCCCTCATCCGACCCTCCCACAGCAGACACCAAGGAATCTCTCACCACTCGACTCTCCAATGCGGTCAAAACTTCAGAAACATGGCTACCCTTCTGGCTCAAAACGATCCCCATTCCACGAATCAGCAAGAACGGAGACGGAGTCCATCTCCTCTAATCGTCTGAAACTGAACGACTGCGGAAACCTAAACGGATGTAACTCCCCAAATTTTCAAGCATCAAAGCCCATCAGCAGCCCCGAGGAGGCTGCGATCTTCCCCTACTGTTCTCCACTGTTTGCGCCCCGCTCGGACCGCACAATCACGTATACCCGCCATGAATTGTGGCTGCCCGTCTGTAAATGCACCGCATTTACTGCCCCCCTTTCCTCTGTTACCGCATTCACTCTTTACCCCACCCCCCCGATCCCAGGCCCCTTCAAAACTTGACAATTACCAATAACCCTCCAATTATTTTATATTTATACTTGTACTTCAACCCCGGGAAATTTTTGCAATAAATACCGATGAGGGTATTTTTGTCCTTTAAAGCGCCCTACGAGAATGTCTCTTCATCAAGAACGATCGAGAATCTACGGGCGAATATTAATAATAGTAAAATCGCCTCATTTTTGCCCTCAAGGATTGAGAAAATTACATTTTTGCCCACATCCATGAGCTGGAAGGGAACCGGATCCCTCCCACCCGTGACGCTGCTTTGACTACTTTCGAAGCAGCCTTCTTTTATTTATTAATTAATCCGCCTCTTATACGACTAATCCTCCTTTAATAAACTAATTAGCAAATTAACTGAAGACTAGTCAACCCAAAGTTTTGACACGTGGGCCTCTCTGAAAATGGGCCGGCGGGCCATCCTGTCGGCCCAATAACGAAAGCTAGCCCACAAGCCGCGGTCAGACACAGAGAGAGAGAGAGAGAGAGAGAGAGAGAGAGAGAGAGATGACTAATCCTACTTTAATAAAGTAATTAGCATACTGAAAATAGTCGACCAATGTTATGGCCACGTGGGCCTTTCTGAAAATGGGCTAGCGAACCAGCCCGTTAGGCCCAATAAAAGAAAGCTAACCCACAAGCTCCGATAAAAGAGACATATATATATATATGACTAATCCTACTTTAATAAACTAATTAGCATATTCATCTAGTCAACCAACTTTATGGCCACGTGGGCCTCCTGAAATAGGCTGCCCCCAGCCCGTTAGGCCCAATAATGAATCCAGTCCACAATCCCAGCTACAGAGAGAGAGGGAGAGAGGGAGAGAGGGAGAGAGAAAGAGTGTGTTTTGAAATGACGCCGTTGTACCGACCGCTGACGAGATGACGTGGATGGCATGTTCGCTTGAACGCAACGTTGCGGATGGCAACAGGACGGCGACGAGACGGCCCTCCTCTGCCCCGGGCGCCCGGTCGTGCATTGCTGGCGAAGACGCGGTCTACGAACTCCGTCGTACGTGCGCGTCGCGGAGAGGGTGAGAGGAGGGCGGCGGTGACCGGAAGCGGCGCCGATAGCGACTGCTTCCCGGGGGAACGTGCAAATCTGGGACATAATATCTCCACGAACTGCTCCTTCGAAAAATACTAAAAATGGGTTTTGAACGAGTTTTACTCAATAAATAAATAGAGAATTAATAAATATGGGCGATAAGGCTGCGAGATGGAGAGCGAGAAAAAGGAAGAGAGAGAGAGAGGGAGGGAGAGCGTGATGGAGAGAGATATAAATACCTAGTGCGGAGGAGAGACGATTGTGACGGAATTAAATCTCCTTGTCGCGTCCGCTTCTCCCTCCCCAATCTATCCCTGCTTGTGCTCCTAGGTCGTCTTCATCAGCGGAAGCTGTAGCAGCAGCAGCGGCGGCGGCGGCGGTGGCGGTGGCGGAAGGGCGTTGATGGTAGGTTGGTCGTTGAAGGCGTGCTGCGGCGGCGGTGGCGATGCGAGGAGGAAGAGGAAGAGGAGGTGAATCCGATCTGTTGCCGTTGATCTAGATCACCGCGTCGACGGGGTGTTATTCCGCGTTGAATCCGGTTTTGTTTCCGCCGTGGATGGGCCAGTCTGCATCTGTATCTTCCAGATCTGAACCTGGGAGGCGGCCACGATCCTCCGCGGCGCGGCAGTCCTTCTCCGATTGTGCGGCTACCATGGGGCCTGAGGACGGCGAGCAATCTTCGGTTACCTCCGATTCGGATCGAGTTGGAGAAGTGGGAAGGGATAGCACGGTCGATCTCCCTGATGAATGCTTGGCGATGGTGTTCCAGTTTCTGGGACCTCCCGACCGGAGCAATTGTTCGTTGGTTTGTAAGCGGTGGCTGGTGATCGAGGGACAGAGCCGGCACCGGATCTCTCTGGACGCGCGCGCCGTCCTGCTGGAGGCGATTCCCCGGCTCTTCTCTCGTTTCGACGCGGTCACCAAGCTCGCCCTCAAGTGCGAGCGCCGCTCCGACAGCATCGGCGACGAGGGGCTGGCGCTCATTTCCGCTCGCTGCCCCAACCTCACACGCCTCAAGATCCGCGCCTGTCGCGAGGTCTCCGAGGAGGGGATGACTTCCCTCGCGAAGAACTGCCCCCGCCTCCGCAAACTCTCCTGCGGCTCCTGCACCTTCGGCTCCAGGGGCATCAACGCGGTCCTCGCCCACTGCCCCCTGCTCGAGGAGCTCTCCATTAAGCGACTCCGCGGCATCACCGACGAGCCCGTCGGCGGCTCTGCCGTGTTTTCTTCCCTCAAGACCATCTGCCTCAAGGAGCTCTACAACGGACACTGCTTCGGACCGCTCATCTCTGCTTCCCCCAACCTGCGGACCCTCAAGCTCTTCCGCTGCTCCGGTGACTGGGACAAGCTGTTTGAGGAGCTGCCGGACCTCGTTCCGGGGCTGGTCGAGGTCCACCTCGAGAAGATTAACATCAGTGACCGTGGTCTCTACGCCCTCTCGTCTTGCATCGATCTGGAGGTCCTCCACCTGGTGAGGACGACCGAATGCACAAACGCCGGGCTTGCATTCGTCGCCGAGCGCTGCCGGCTGCTCCGCAAGATCCATATCGATGGGGGGAAGGCCAACCGGATCGGCGACGAGGGCCTGGCTGCTGTTGCCCGGCGGTGCCCCAACCTGCAGGAGCTCGTCCTCATCGGTGTCAACCCAACTGCTCAAAGTCTTGGCCTCATCGCGGGCAACTGTCGTAACCTGGAACGCCTCGCTCTCTGCGGCAGCGAGACCATTGGAGATGCTGAGATCTTCTGCATTGCTGCCAAGTGTGTGGCCCTCAAGAAGCTCTGCATCAAAGGGTGCCCAGTTTCCAACCATGGCATGGAGGCCCTGGCCGGGGGCTGCCCCAACCTTGTGAAGGTGAAGGTGAAGAAGTGCAAGGCTGTGACGGCCGATGTTGCAGAATGGTTGAAAACGATCAGGGGTTCTCTTGCCGTCAACCTTGACAGCGGCACAACCCAGCGCCTCGAGCAGCTTGATGCAAGCACCAGCGAGAGCGGTCTTCGGGAGAATGCCCCAGATCACGCCCAGCTTCTCGTCGAGCAGATGTCCGGCATGGATCTGCCGTCAAGTAGTGGCGGCAGGTCAGCGATGTCCAAAGCGAGGTGGCGGTTCATCAGTGCGAGGAATTTCATGGCATCCACTCTCCGACGGTTGTCCCAGAACGGGAGCAGCGCTCAGCATCATCCATAGCTGCAAATATTGATCCCCAACACCAAAGAGCAGGAGGAAAACGAAAAGAATTGGCGACATTTTGTGCATCTGTCTGTGTATGAACCACTACCTGTCCAATCAACCTCTCTTTGTCCGATATCATCTTATATTCCCTTCGTTATTGTTCCTGCTTAAGAATGCCATCGTTTATCTTTCCATCTATCTGCTGGGTGTTCCATGCTGCTCGCCATTTCCTGCTCAGTCATCACTGCGGCTGAATCCGATTGACTTCTCCCCCCCGCCACTCAGTCACTGTGATCGATGACAATTCGGTCGATTCTCCGAGCAGCAGCTTTGTGAGTCGGATATTCTCGACGTCGTCGCTGATCTTGACGACTTTTCGCCGATCTTCTGCAGTCCTTCTGACTCGGGTGGAGCCAGGTACAAATTCTCCCACTCATTCTGCTCGAGTGGATGCAGTGACGGCCTTCCAGATTCAACTAGAGAAATCCAGACTTTTCTCGCGGTCAACGGCGGGGCTCTGCCGATCTTTTAGACCGGTTGGATTCGCCTGCTCTTCCTCGGCTCGTGACACCGCCATTAATGGAGGGGCCCCGAGGTAAACCACCGCTGCCGCCGCCCGTGGAAAGTTGTTCTGTTTCCACCCTGACGACCTCTGAAGATTGGGGTCCTGCGCGTCGAGGGTTCTGCCAAAGATTTCTTTTTTTTGGTCAGCGGGAGCAGATTCCGTTCGCCCAAGGGAAAATCGGAATACGTAGCCTATATTTGAGAAATCTGGTCTTCAATGGCTCTTGTTGGTCAACGGGTTCCCCTCGCTTTCCTGGAACTGGTCCCCCACCCGCTACCAAGACTCTCTCTCTCTCGACGGGGTCTTGGGTTGAATGAAACGACAGGCCACCCACCGCACAGCGCAACATCAGGCCGAGGGGATCCGGTCGAATCGAAAGTCAACGTCAGCGCCGTCGGGGTCGCGCCATTCCTGACCGAGTCCTAGCCTTCCGATCGAAACCTCACGAACGGACGAGGGAGCCCGATGGCGTCCCGACGGAGCCGCCCCGCGTGGGCTCGATTTCGAAGTCCACGCAGCCGGATTCAGTTTCTGCCCCTTCCAATAGACGAGCTACCGTTGACCTTGGGCAGTCGTGAGCGTTGACTACGACCCATCCGACGACCGGCATCAGGAACACCAAGCGCACTTACAAGGGTATACATATGCTTAACAAGATCATCAACAAATCGGATTGGAACTTCAAATTATTAAAAAAAAAAAAAAAAAGATGGATGGCAGCTCTATCGGTGGAGGAGCCATTCCCAATATCTTATTGCCCTAATAGCCTCTCAAATATTATTCCAAAAGCTTAGTCGCCCTTGTGCTAGCACCACTACTAATCAATCAATAAATAAATGAATAAAGCAATAAATCAAAAACAGTGGATAATTTAATTTTTTTATGAGATTTTAATACTTTGAACTATAATAAAAGTTCGTGTCATCTGAAATTCATATCCCATTGAGGTGTGTTGACTCTGCGTCATGATTTAGAAAATGTCCCTAGTGAAGGAAAAAGTCAAATAATGTAGAGTAAAAATATTGTCTCAATCAGCCTAAACAATTGTCATGTTCCACGCTATGTATATGTTGACTTTTGAGTAGTTTACGTCAATATAGTATCTTCCATGACATCGATTAATCCCCTAAATGAAAGTTGAGATTGAATGGATGTCATTCTCCCATAATTTATACGTTTATGTTTACGATCTAGTCAAGGGCTGACTCACCTACTAAGAGTCACAAATCATGTTTAGTGGATGAAATAAAATTAAAATAATAAAAAAAAACTATTGGGAGCTCTTGTAACCTCCCAATTTTAGGTTATTCAGTTGCTTGAAAATATATACATTTCTAACTATATAAAAATTATAAATAAATGAAATAAAATACTAAGGGTTCCTTCTTCAAAGTTACATGTATTTACATACACTTTGAAACCAACTAGTGAGTATGATCCTCATTGATTATGAGGATCAATAATGATTCATCACCACCAATCGATAAAAGCATGTGCTATGGGTCTTAGGCTACTTAGTTGCTTCAAAATATATATCTATTTCAAATTACATAAAAATCATTAATAAATATAAAACCCTCACAACTGCTCAAAAGAAAATTGGGAAAATCAATCAACATGACAAAATACTAAGGCCTCCTTCTTCAAAGCTCTGTGTCTGTCTCTACAAACACTTTGAAACCAACTTGTGATTATCATGTGAGCTAAGGGTTTCGTTGACTCATCACTTCCAATCAGTAAAAGCATTTGCTAACGAAGAAAAGGGGTTTTGAGGTGACTTTAAAAGATTAGTAATGATATGAGCATGTGAGGACTTTGATTGACTTTATACTAAAATTAGTAAAACTAAGCCAAAATTCTACTCAAGGAGAGGATGAATTTTAGAGGTCAAATGATGCAGCAAAAATAGGTGTGAGACTAATTACTGGAAGTGCTATTCTAAGGTGATTTTAATGGCATAAATAACATATCTAGATTCCAAGTATTCATATTTTTATATAGTTTAAAGTAAAAAATGAGGTGGAGGTATCTGTTATTGGGCTGAAAGTTGTTGTCGGAACAGTCGATGGTGACCCCAATTATATGAATAAAGGGTGAATAACCATGTGACTATAACAAAAAGGTCAACTTCAAAACACTCTCCTTCTAAGTTCCTCCTTGAGACCAACAATAACCTCCATTTTAATATAAACCATATTCCTTTACATTTATTCATGTTATTACATAACTTTCACAAAAATAATTGACATTGTAGAGTATTTTTTATTATCTTTAAATTTCCATACTTCATTGCATCTTGTCATCTAATTAAACTCTCTCCCACAAAAATAATCTATGAGCACTAGTTGAACCAAAAAGTTATTTCAAATAATACTAAGCCAGATAATTGACTCTTAACTATGGCATATGATGTGTGAAAAATCTCATTGTTTTTCTAGTGGATTTAATAATCATAGCAAAATATGTGGTCGATCAGTAAATCCAACAATTTACTCACTTCGTTGCAACCACTAGGATCAATTGATCTTTGTGTAACTCATAAAGCCTAGAACCTATTTTAGTGTAAGTAGAGACCATGTATTAGTTTATTTATTGCCTTAATAGAATATACCATAGAGATATGATGATGACTTGAGTCACAAGCCTATTCTAATCCCTGGTGTGATTTCATGATTTGATGTATACCATAAAGAAAGTTTTAATATGAACACATTAACTAAATAATAAAGTCATAGAGTTATGATGTTGTAAGCAAAAAATTGATATTTTTGTGTTATGAGTTTTGAGATTAAGGTGAATAAATGAATGTCTTCTTGAGTACCATTGCTCTCAATAATGTTGAACCACAATAATCTATGTTAGTTTTTTTATAAAGTACGGAAGATATCATATGTTAGGTATTGTAGACTCTTGGTGTCTTTTATATCTTTCTTTGTATTTAGGTCGTACTAATTTGTCAACGAGTTATAAGTGTTGGGAAGTAAGAACACACTCTTGGTAGAGGCCATGTAGTGTGCCATATAGTTTAGTCCCCAAAGATAAAGAGCATCCAATAACTCTTGGTTTTACCACTTTTATTATGAGCATCGTGACAAATGTAACCTAACTTAAATGGTATTTTCTAGATTTTTTATTAGAAACGAATAGTGTGATAAGAAGATCATCAAAGATGGGCCGACAAAGTTTGATTGAATGAGAGTCAAACTAATTATAGAAATTATCGAATGAGAGAAAGAGGTGCCTTTGTTAACTCTTATGATTCACTCTCTTGCCGTCCTCATTGAGTCAACTCGAATTCGTTTGGTATTTGTCACCCACCAATTGGTGTTTTTTGACGGTATAAAATTCGTGATACATAATATTTTTAGAAAATTTAATCTACCTAGGTGGAGAGAAAACAAGGAATTTGATTATGCAACCTCTCTCTCTCTCTCTCTCTCTCTCTCTCTCTCTCTCTCTCTCTCTCTCTCTCTCTCTATTGAAATAAATGGGTATATATGACATATGTTTGAACATATAGGAAAATTTCTCAGACCAACAACCAATGCATACCAACAGTTCCAAGATCGCTCTTACTCGTCCCTGATCTTGGTAGGTAGTGATAAAATCCAAAAAGTTTAACTCTACACTCAATATCACACCCCCCGCATTTTGATTTGACTTTTCTTGCTAGCTACCCAGGAGTCCAGGTGAGATTGACCATGACCTCCTGGGTAATAAATACCCTAATGACAGTTACCGGCTAGAACCCTCTGCCTTGAACAGAGTAATGATGGCAGTCAAATAGGAGAACAAGGTTGACCCATTGTCGAGTAGTCAGTCCCATTGTGGACAAGCTTGCGAGTCACATTGACCCATCCACCTACCTCAAGGGCTTTGACTTGCTGTGATCTATAGAAGCTTATCACTGATTTCTATTCTATTCTATCAGTTCACTGCTCCTACTACGACCACCCTTGGAAGCAGCTGGCCTCATCTCCTATATTTGGAAACATCTGGGTTGCAGACTGTTTTAGCCCTCTACAAACCCCATGAAAAGAGCTCACAAGCTACAAAAGAAGTACATCAAAAGAAGTACAGCAGCATGAAATGTCCCCAACACCGGGGAGAAGCAAAGACATCGTACCAGACGCAACAAGATGAGATGCCATCTCCAATGCCCCACACAATCTTACGCTACTTAACGCCAAGAACTAGTCCCTGAAATCAGACGAGGAGGAAATGAGAAAGAACTGAAGGAAGAGAGAGAGAGAGAGGGGGGGGGTTAACCTCGAAGCAGCCTCACCTCGACAGCTGATTATTCTGTTGAAAATTCGGAGAAGCTAAAAAAAATGACATCAAAACTGATGATGAACTGGGAGGAAGGTGAATTCAGAGCTTGAGGAACACAAACTCCTCGATGGCAGGAATCTCGCCGATCTTCTTCAGGGCCTCGGGGTGGGGCTCTTCATCGACACCGATGGCCATGACAGCGTGCTTCCTGGGGGCGATCCTGCCGACACTCATGAAGCTCACGTTGACATTCTGCTCGCCGAGGATGCTCCCAACCCGACCGATCATCCCGGGCTGGTCAACCTGCCTGCAGAGGATTATGCTGCCTTCGAGGCTGACATCCACCTGGAAGGACCCCACCTTTGTTAGATGGGGCACCCCATCCATCACCCTCCCTTCCACTGTGATTTCCCCAGAGTCCGACATGGCGCTGGCGAATTTGGACTCCACATGGGCGATCTGGACCTGGATGTAGTCCAATGGGTTCTCGGGGGACCCGTCGAGGAGAATCCGCTCTTCGGCGATTCGCACGCCCCTCTGCTTGGCGGTGAAGTCGGCGTTGACCAGGTTGATGAACACGCTTGATATGGGCTCGATCAGACCCTTGGTGATCATGGCCCGTAGAAGCCGGGTGTCGAGGTCATCGGGAGCCCTTGCAGTCGCATAGCTCACCTTCACCGACTTCACCCCACCGCCACCCGACACGAGCTGAACAGCCAATCTACCGAGCTTCTCCGCCAATATGACATATGGAGCTAGCTCTGACAGGACCTGGAGACGACAAACGTTAGTTTGAAATCCATTAGATTATAAGAGATTGATCAGCTGAAGCAATTCTGGACTTTTGTTTTTTTTTTTTTTTTTTTTTTGGAGTAAATGCACATATGTTGCCTCAGCTCATCAATCGCCAATATGTGCCAATATTGGAAAATTCTCCAAAATTCTCGGTTCAATGAAATAAAAATCGCCAATCTGGATTTATTTTATTTTTTTTACCCATTAACCCCATCCATAGAATTCTCATAGATTATACGTCATACCTCAGCAGGTACCATGGGTGCATTTACTGCTGTAGAAGAAAGCTCCCCCTTTAGGGCTCCGATGACAGCTTCGGCTATTTCAATAGCTACCCCTTCCTGGGTTTTTCACAAACACAAAGAAGTACTCAAAAATAGGAACTACAGAAAAAAAAAATTAAAAAAAATCGAGTATTTTCGGTACACTAAGTACACACTTGAGCTTCCATGGTGCTTGCACCGAGATGAGGCGTCACAGTCACCCTTTCATGCAAGACCAGCTTGTTTCCCGGAGCTGGAGGCTCCTCAGTGAAGACATCCAGGGCAGCCTGTTTAAAACCACACCAAGATCAGAAATCTACAGTCGTCCATGCGGCCATGAGCTTTGATTAAGAGGAAATAAAAACCTGGGCGACTTTTCCAGAGTCCAAGGCCCGGACTAGAGCATCTTCGTCAATGACACCACCACGGGCCACATTTATAATCCGAGCACCCGTCTTCATCTTTGCAAAAGCTTCGTCGTTGAGGATCTTTGATGTCGACGGAGTCAGGGGCATATGCAGAGATATGAACTCTGCAGTTGATATGGCTTCATCAAAGCTTACGAGATCAACCCCTATGGCGCGAGCCCGGTCGGCAGATGCATATGGGTCATGTGCAATCACGTGCATCCCCAAGCCCTTGGCCCGTCTTGCCACTTCTGAGCCAACCTTTCCGAAGCCCATAACAGCAAGAGTTTTGCCGACAAGGGAGACGCCAACATACTTACTGCGCAGCCATTTTCCTGGAGACAATTGACAACAGATATTGACATATTAAATAATTATTATTTGGTGGACAGACCCAAGGAGAGAAATAATTCGGCAACCGGGCCACTTTCAGAGAGGAGTTGAAGATAATCTTGAGATCCCTAACACCAAAAAAATCACGGAATTGAAGGTGACAAAGAAAGTGTTCTGTTTATTGTGATTGGAACCATCTTTGAAGATGATCAGGGCTTGTCTTTTTTTTTTCCCTGAATAAATCGATAGCAATTGCTCAATTGGAACCAAGTGTAAAGTTCACAATCTTATCCCCCATGTTGGCCTGTGTAGATGGAAGAAGGGCACACCAGACAGGGTTCTTTCAGGAAGCTTTTCTCTCCAACTAATCTAGCATGAAATTGCTTACACTGAATATAGATGGATAATAATTGCACAAAAGGACAAACAGACACAAATTCAATAGTAATTAGTGGGACAGATCCACTAAATTAGGGCGAACGGTCAAAATTCATGAACAAGTAGAACGTGAAAAACATTTGTAACTATCAGGAAAAGGATAAAAATAAAGCAGTCATTTATCTATATTGGGATGATAAAATATACCATTTTGAAAATTTTCTAATCAAGTAGTTTAAATGGTAAGGCGTAGATTAATTGAAATTACTGAAACTACAAGATATTAATGTCATGCATATCTTTCTCACTGTTAATACTAAAAGTCAATAAAATATAACTAAGCAAATGGCAATGATATGGCTATGTATAACTTAAAGCCCAAGTTAGGTCATTTATAATCATCTTGAAACAAATTGAACACCCAATTTTGATCTGAATTTATTAACTCAGCAAAGAAGGTTCAGCATAGAGCTTTTTGTGATTTCATCAAACACCTAAAACTCTTCCATTTTGACTATCGCATATGGCTATTCCCTTTCCTTTACAATCTACCTACTTCTCACAAAACTTGAACATCTCGGCAATCCAACCCATTTGAAACGAAACATAGGTTAGTTAAAACCTCTTTCCATTCGGTCAAGTCACTGTAATCCTAATGCCATTTTAACCTTGATTCCAGAATATTTTCTCATCGCAATTATCCTAAGACAACCTTGAATGGCTATCCTTCCCTTCCCATCTACTTAATAAAGATATTCTCCCTGGAGAGATCTTTCCACAAGATAGACCCCAATGATCATACCAAAGCAATTACTTCTTCCTAGGGCTATCGATTTAATCATTCAAATTACTACAATACAACAGAGAGGGTAGAATTGAGATACCTTCATAGATTATGCTGCACCAATCAAACAAAGCAACTAATTTACTCTCTAACACAAAGTGGATGAAACGAAAAAAAATGCATTCATCCACACGCTACCAAAGCATATAGTTTCCACAGAGCAGCATTTGAGGTATCATAAAGGAAATGATAGAGAATCCTAATTCGTTTCAAAAGTTGGCAGCTCTGGTGAATAAGTATCCTAAGATAAATATCACGAGTCCTGTTGAAGCGAATGATGAAGACTACATTTTTGCGTACTCACAAACTGCTCAAAGTGTTGCCCATACACTCAGAGGCAAAAAGAATTCCATCGGAGTAGATTAAACACTTCAAACCTTTCCTGGCTGATACAAAGAACATAAAAATACAATAACCAGGAAACTTGCCATGCTTCAATTGACGAGAAAAAAAAACTGAAAACACGTTCGGAAGAAGATGAATAAGAGCAGTACTAGATAAGAATTCAAATAGTGCTTCCTTCAGTATAAATTTGGGGAACACAAAATTCAGATCATCAAAGTCAAAGTTTGCACGCATGGATGATGAAGACAATCCTACATACCCAACCATACAACACATTCGATGTGAAAATGGAAGTACTAAAATGACAAGAGGCGAGAAATAGAAGACACTTTGAGATTAGGTTTTTGCATCAACATAGATACGGATTATTAATGTGTCCCAAATCATTACGTGTTGAGTTTTTATCGTTAATATCTAATAAGATACCTTTCTTTCCTCAATAACGATGTATTTTCCACTTCTAGGCTGAGGAACATCTCAAAAGCAGCCACTGATCCTGGCTTAAGATTCTCCCAGAAGGTTACATACACAACACTAACATCTTTCGATGCCAAAAATCACTATTGTTTTCATTAAGTAGAATACAAGGAATAGAACCACCGCACCAGAACTCAGGTCACGTTCTACTAGATAATTGCCTCCATACTATCCAAAGAGGTTCAAAGAAAATCAATAGTAACGTCAATGGATACGGAAACATATTGCTTGAAAAATAATTTTATAAAATATACGATGAGGAATATAATCATCTCTCTGGAGTTTTTCTCATAAGCTTTAACAGGATCTAGGAACAGATTATACGTCACATATCCTTCGAAATGAATGCAAAACGGACTTTTACACAGGTTGACCATTTTATTTCCTAGTTTATCAACTATCCAGCTCAAATCACGATACAGGAACTGACAAGAAATTAAATGCTGCGAAAGGAATCCGGAAACGACCAGGATATTGCCTTTAGAATCATTAAGTCCTATATCAATATCAACCCGGAGGTTAAAATATCGGAAAAAGCGAACTACAAAGGAATCATATTCTTAAGGAGGCTTAACTAGATCATCAGGCCTTTCACGTGGACGAATATAAATAGTTCTAGCTGGTGCTGTAGCTCAACCCTTGCATGACATATCTTCAAAAGACTGCAAAGCAAGTTCAAAATAGCCCAACATAACTTGAAATGCAAAGCATGGTTAATCTTGCTAAACAAAACTAGGAGAGATCTTCTCATCTGCAACAGTCTATTTAGAGATTAGCAACGTCTTAGTTAGCTCCTCAATAATTATGGATTCCAATAAATTTTTTAGAGATTAGGAGATTACGTGCATTTCACTTTTTTGGACCACAACCATAAAATTCGACTTACTCGATCACAGGCTGATGTTCAACTGCACATCTAAATGCACGGAAAGGCAGATGATTATTTTTATTTTTCTTACGCTGAGGGTATTACAAGTTATATTTATCAAAAATCTCCATCTCTGTTCAGAAAAGTCTGTAAAATAAAGCTTTTCCGTCATTACTGTCTTTTCCATTCACGTCTATTCACCTTATTGTTAACCACATGCATCCTTTCTACAAAAAAAGTAATCAGAGAAAATAATGATAACATGAGCATTTCAGCGAACAGATCATAGGCAAAATGATATAGCAAGCATCCAAACAGATCCATCGAGTATGGTTTAATAAGAAAGATATCAAGTTGTTATTATATAGGAATAGAAAGAAACAGAGTTGAAGAGGAGACTCTGAAAAGGAGAGAAAGAAATGGGGAAAGTGGGTTAAGCAGAGAAAGGAAGTCACCAGCTTTGAGCGAGGCATCGGCCTGGGCGATGTTGCGGGCCATGGCAGTGAGTAAGGCGATGCCGTGCTCGGCGGCCGCGACCGTGTTGGCGGTGGGAGCATTGACGACGAGGCATCCGTGCTCGGTTGCGGCCCCGAGATCAACGTTGTCGATCCCGACCCCAGCGCGGCCAACGACACGGAGCCGACCGCCGGACGACTCGAAGACCTCGCGGCTGACCTTCGTGCCGCTACGCACGATAAGGGCATCGCAGAGGGAGATCTTGGTGCAGAGCTCCTCCTGCGTGAGGTTGTAGGAGCAATCCACGTTGGCAAACCCTTTGAGGACCTCCAGACCCGCCTCCCCGAGCTTCTCCGCCACCAATACCGTGGGCTTTGCCCCCATCCCTCCCGCAGTCGCCACCACAACGAGGCGGCGCCGCCATTCTCCCCCTCGCCCCCCGACGGGAACGGCGGACCGGAACGAGATGCAACGCGACATACTGTTGGAGAAAGAAAACGCCGCCGCCAAACGCGGCGGCGGCTTCACCAACGCCGGCGCAGAGGAAGTGGAAGCAGCAGCCATCGGCGCCATTCTCCTCCGCTCCTTCCTACTCTCTGTATGGGATCTCTGAGCTCTGCACTCTCTCTCTAAAAGACGTCTGTGTTCAGCGATGCAGGGTTTAAGTAGGCGTCAGGCGGGCCCCACGGTTGGTGGTGATATTCCCACGCCCGCTCAGTGGAGAAATCATGCTGGTTATCTCAACTCAGTGGCAACATAACACGGAGCTCGGGGGGTGAGAACAACGAACTCCTCCCTCTGATATCTGCGCTGATGTGAGATGAAAAAATGGGTAAATCTTAAATAACATTTTCTTGAGGGAAAATATGAGAATATATCTCTTTTAACAGATCCAATCACAAAACCTCACACCTTAAGATCTAGAGAAGGGCGGGGGAGGGGTAGGTTTGTGTATTCTATTCCACCAACTCAGTGAACGTGCCATTTTCTCCCTCTCTCTCTCTCTCTCTCTCCTTTCTTCTCTCTCTCATCCTTTCAAGTGCGGCGGCTACTAACCCTTTTGGCCTCCTCTTTCCGATATTTGCACGAGGCAATTATTTTAAATAATTAATATTTGTAGGTCTTCGCCGTTGTTGTACTGGACTTTAATCGAACTTTAGAAGATGACTGAATAATAACAGCGTTATTTAAGCCCAGATCCCCGTAAATTGTGTGAATTAGAGAAAGTCCCTGGTCATTTTACTTTCTACTCTAGGTCCTTATTAAACTATTTCGTAATTAAGAATCTGTCCCTTGTTTTATGGTCATTATTAGAGTATGAATTACTCATGCTCTGATAAAGAGAAATTAATTAGTAATATAATGTATTATCAAAGGTACATATGATTACCAAATATACGCCAATTAATTCATAAAAATATGATTTATTTATTTACTTTGAAATATATAGTGAAGGCCCAAAATATGATTTATTAGTAATATCTCAATATACAAACTAACTATAATCCATATGTTTTACATGAAAATATTTAGTGATTATTTGAAAAATCAACTATGCCCACATCCATACTCATTTAAAAAGGCAAATTTGTGATTTTTTTAAAAGTATGATCAATATCTAAATCTATATCGTAGTGATTTAATATATTTTAATTTAAATCTAAGTGTTTTGCCATCAATTATGCTATCTTGCCCTATGTGTAGGTTGTGGTAAGTAAAGATTATTTAAAATGCTAATTATCTGTCCTCACTAAAATATAATGTTTGGAGTTTGAACATAACTATTTTTTATATTTAATAAAGAGGCAAATTCAGTAATTTTGAATATTCATATGATATATTATTTAATCTGTTTTATAAAATTATTATCGCCTACTGTCTAATCTTCTAGCACCGTTATTTTTTATCATTTCACATTTATGAGTGTCAAAAAAATATTTCAATATATGATGCCATTATAATAGATAGTTCACACAAATATACAAAGTATAATCTTATGTACGTTGATGTTTTTTTAATAAAAACAGATAGATTCGAAATAAATTAATTCCTAGATTTCCAAGATTTTTAAAATAATTCTAAAAAATATTGAAATTTTAAATAATTTCATAATCCATTTTTTCACATAAGAGATGAAAACATTTTATTTCTAAATATCGTAGCATTATTTTGTTCACATTGAAATGAATGAGGTTTTACGAAATAAGTTTGTCTCTACAAGGAAAAGTGAAAAAATAACTTAATTTAATAAATATTTAAATAATTATCGCTAATGAATAGAGCAATTCATAATATCTTTTTGGTTTATTTGGACTTGAGTACCAGCTTACACAGTTAAACGTCGGTCTAGTGGGTGGGTCCGCGATTCGGCCGGGCCTGCTTTCACTGGCCGGCTGGCCCGGACCTGAACCGCCGCCGGTTCGTCTGTCTGTTCCGGAACTCCCAAAGGAGGGAGGCGTTCCCCAGAGGCTGAGGTTCTTCAAAACCCTGGCCTCTCTCTCTCTCTCTCCCTCTCTCTCCCTCTCTCTCTCTCTCTCTCTCTCTCTTCCCCTGTGTCTTCCTCTGTCTCTGTATCTTTCTCTCTCTCTTTGGCGAGGCCTCAATGGCGAAGGAGCTCGCTAAGGTGGAAAGAGAGGTAAGGACTTCCTAGCTCTGTCTTGCCTCCGCTTCCTCTCTGCCTCTCTCTCTCTCTCTCTCTCTCCGCCGTGTGTTGGTGCTAGCTCTCTGCTGCTGGCAATGCACTGGCGACGTTCCATGCCTCTGATTTCAGTGTCGTTAGAAAATCATGTATTTGGGGAGCGAAATACTGCCAGTGGATGGTTCTCATCCCGCGATGCAAGGGAAGGGGTCTGCGGGCATTACATTGCTGCATTTCTGGCGAAGTCGATCCGGCTTGGATCGTTTGGCACGTGCTTTCCTGTTAAGTCGCGGATATATCTGTGTTAGTTGGCCTATTTCAAGGATGAATTCGGGGTAGCGTCCGATTGTCGCAGTCCATTTCTGTGAAGCGATGGCGGATAGTGCTCGCGGTTTGTTCATCTTCCTATTTCATTACTTTGTTACTCCTTCTGAGTTTCAGTTTTGGAAAATTATGGCAGGTACTTGTTGGGATGGTAAAATTTTGTCAGAAGCGGGGGCTGAAGGGTGAGAAAGGTGAATGGAAGGAATTCTTGGCAGCGTGTGACCGGAAGTTCGGTGCCAGTCTAAGCGATCCAGCGAGGAGATCAGCGGATATATTGGTAGCTTTCTTGGAGTCTTTTACCCGAGAAGAAGATATAGAGGTAATAGCGAAGGATTAGTGTTTGGTCCCAACCATCAATCGACTTCAAAGCTTTAAAACTCGCTCTTTTCGTTGGTTTTAGTTCTTTTCAAAAATGATGAGACGCCACGAAAATTTCAAGGCAATGGAAAAGATGGTGAGGGACTTGCCAGGCAGTGAATCGCCACAGCAGGTATGTCTTGCAAGTTTTTTTTAGTTGTGCTGAACATCTTTCTTTCTTTCTTTCATTGAACGTTGATGAGTTATGCTTAACTAACTACTGGTCACTGACACATGGGACTACGCGGGATTAGGCTACGCTTATATTATTTTAAATATCATTATAGAATGATAACGAAAATTTATTTCTGGAAAAAATGAATGCAGCTTCAATTTGTCTGCAGATAGTCAGAACATAAGGGTCGTAACGTGCCCTAATGCTAAATATGAATCTGTGATTCTTAGGTACCCACAACATTGTTTTTGGGAAAATCTGACTCAGATGCATGCATATAACATGAGTTGTCTCAGCAGGATTCCTAGGAAAAAAATGCTCAGCACTATGTTCACAATGATACAATCACGAATTGATGGCTATAAATAGATGGCGACAATAGAGCAATTGTCTATTACATGTGCATAGACTTGTATTGAACGATTGCCATCTCGTAGATGATGAGTACTGATATTGTAGTTGCTGATAGATAAGAAGTTCATGGTAGTGTCATCAAGTTGTTTTGTGTAAGACTTGCACCAGCAGTAGCCTCACTCTTCTTTGCTCTGTTTTTTCTCATCTACTAATGTAAGTGATTTATTTTCATTTTTGGCGGGTTGCATATTCTCTTCCTACCACTATACGCTTTTGATTTAAACTGCAATATCAATCAATTCCTATACACTATCACGCGTCAGATATTCCAACCTTGAGATCTCTATGGAGGGCGGTGGTTGAAGGATTGTTGCTCATGCCATTGCTTAAGCTTGGCTTAAGCTTGGCCAGTGGTTCTGCTCTTTGTTGCACAAAAACCAGTCACAAAGAGTGGGGATGCTAAGGAGGAAGTGGATTCCATACTAACTGGCTGCAGATTCAGATGCTTCAGAATTCATCTTACCTTTTTTATCATTCCACAAAATATTCCTAGTTGTGGCATTGTGTAGTGTATCTGGATGGCAGTTTTTATGGATTTTGTTTTGTATCCAAGCAGTCTTATCATGCTCCTCTTTTTATATTTGATCAAGAAACCTTTTTGTTCATATTTCTCTCTAATCTAAATAAAATTATTCGTCGTATAACTGAATATACTGGAGTTCTAGTTGATATCCTATTTTGGCAGTGCAGAGGCTTGTTCGTTTGACTGTTGGACACCCTAAGTACATTCAGAATTATAGCTTTCCGTCGCATGAGGAGGTCTGCTCTTGTCTTGGAGAAACTGCTTCTGATTAAGCGTCAATTCATGCTGTATATGGAAGTATTAATTTATATGTGGATTTTAGGGTTTAGCATTAACTGTTGGAGACCAAACTATATGCTACACTCTACCTTTCCACAGAAATGTGGTCTGTTCTTAACTTGTAGATTTTTTTTTTAATTCTTGTTACGTCCATGCATTCAATACAATTGCTTATATATTGGTTTAGTACACTAATTTTAGCCTTTTTTGGATTTTTGGATCCTTTATAATTCTTGATAAATGAAGGATTCATTGATAAGCTACCTTTGTTCTTATCACGCTATTTATTTTCATATTTTTGTTGTGCATGGCTGCATGCAAAAAACAAAGATAACCCAACTTTGACCTATATCTATGGCTTGGCTTGAGGAATTTTTTTTTTTGAAAACCTCTTTTTTCAAGACAAAGCGTGTTGAACATAAAATTATTTATTTTAGATTTTTTCCTCAGTGTAAATTTGAAGATAACTATTTATTTATGACTATGGCACATATTTCTAAACCTTTATTTCCACCAAAATTAAACATATTAGAAAATAAGTTGGAATAGAGACAATGGCGTACCGAAATTAGATGTGTTGAACATAAATATTGCTTTTATCATAGTGTCATCTTAGAGAATTGGATTGATCCCATCAACGCCATTTAGTTCTGATCTGGTGGATGATGAATGTGAGATAGGAATTAATTCAGTAATCTATTATTGAGTTATGTCCGATGTTTCTGGCTTGCTACACGAAGACATAACATTATTTGTGGCATGCAACACTGAAGTTTTTCAGCTGATGGACAGACATTTGAATAAATATCTTCCCAATCTGGCACCTTCTTCAGTTGTTGAATATTGAATATAATATTTCTGCAGAGCACGTGGTTATTTCTCGTGTTGCTGTCAATTGTACTCACTTTGTTTTATTTTTGTTCTAATAAACTTCTGACCTTATATTTATGTCTTTGCAATTAACTTCTCACGTTACAGGATTGGATAGTCATACCTTTACGCAAAGTTTCTAAGGTAGCGAAAGTAAATGCTATGATCTCTCTAGATTGCGAGATGGTCCTCTGTCAGGATGGTACTGAAGCAGTAGTCAGAGTCTGTGTAGTAGATCATAACTTGGGGGTACATTTCTTTGTGCACAATTTTATTGTTAATCATCGTCTCATCACAATTTGTTTATAACTCTCCTGTTGTCATTTCTTTTTTTGATGTTTCTAAGTCTTTAACTGAAAAAATACAGGTTAAGCTCGACAAAATAGTAAATCCCAACAAGCCAGTTGCTGACTTTAGAACAGGTATCACCGGAATATGTTCCCAGGATTTAGAAGGTGTAACTTGCTCATTGCTAGATGTACAGGTAGACTTTTTTATTTTGAAGATATTTTGACTTGGGTTCTTATAGATTTATTTTTCATTTGCTGATTAAAACTGTGATATTCTGCAGAAAGCCTTGAGGAAACTGTTATCGCATGGAACCATTTTGGTAGGGCACAGTTTACATAACGACCTTGAAGGTCTGATCGAAAGGAAACTCTTCTGATAAATTCTTAGATTTGTCTGGGCATTCATAGTTCAAAGTTTATGTTCGAGATCTCTTTTGGTACACTATGGGCTCATGCTTAAGTTTCTCTCTCTTACAACAGCTCTGAAAATTGATCACGCTCGAGTTATTGACACTTCTTTCATCTTCCAATGTTTGGACATACCTGAGATCAAAACACCCTCATTAAACAGTTTATGCGAGGTAAGATATCTCTGCTCAAATCGCTATTCTCATATTATTTTGCATCTACAAAAAATTGAATGATCAAATACTTTTATCATCGCAACATCTGATGTGTATTTCATTGCTTAGTCTTAAGCCACTTGTCACGGTGTGGTCAGTCTAACAGGGGTGTGACACCACTAACTAGGTGTATAAGGTATCAGATGCTTAAGGCATTCAATATTCGGTAATATGATGATGACTTATGCTTGGTAGTTGACCAGTTTTTGCTTTGGGTCAATCAGAAGACTGATTGGTTATTAAATATATATATATTTTATAATAAATAAATTCCTTTGGATTATTGTGATCTAATAGTCCATTCGATCATGATGATAAAAAATTTAAAATGATTTTTTTTTTCATCTTGATACTCAGAGCCAGGGTTGATCTGGATCAGAATCGGCGCTGGCCAATCTGATTTTGGGGAAGGAGGGAATCAAATCTCCTTGTGAACTGCATATAACATTCACCAAATTGGGTCATATCAATGATTTATGGGCTCAATTAACTTGCAGTCCTCTTATTCCGAAAGATTTTCATACATTCCCCTTTCCAAAATGAGCAGAACCAAAGCGTGAGAAAGGACAGAGAAAGAGATTAATCAGCTCACTAGAGAACTGCTGATGATTACTTGCCTGATTGCCATTGGCCCTGTGGCTGATGAGGAACAGATGGAGGATAAATAAGAAATCGAAGAAGAGAAACAGGAGAGCAACTCAGGGAAGCACCATTGACTTCTGATGATTTCTGGCCCCTGGTAAATGCAGCTTCTATGGGCTGCCATCAGTTATCCACTCTGCATGCTTTCTCAAATTTTCAATCTTATCACTTGTTTGACTGATTGCCTTATATTTTTTTCCATTATTCTTTTGGCAAATCTGTCTTCTAATCTGTGCTCCTTTCTTTTCATTGAATGATGAACAGAGCTTTTAGTCAGCGGTGAGGAACTCCCAGTCAAATCCTTCCCATTTCTTTTTCAAATGAAATATAACATGATATTTCCAACAAACTTATTTTTCTATAACAAAAAAATATTATTATTTCTCTAATGGGATCGTCGTTGTTATTTCATTGCTTTTGAAAAAAAAAAATACAACTCCAAGAAATAAGCCTATTAGAACACTTTGCACATTATTTACTTATTTATTTAGTTATATATTTTCTCAATTCACTGGTACAGTCTGTCTTGGGAAGTCCGATAAGGAAGGAAGGTGATCCACACGAGTGCCGGAATGACGCAGAAGCAGCTATGAAGTTGGTGCTCGCCAAGATAGAACACGGGTTCGACGATCCCATCGCCATCGAGGCCAAGAAGGTCTGTTAATGTGTGGCAGATTACACCGAATAACCAGCCCACCAACAATTCTCTTCACAAAATGTGTTGCAGGCATCAGAAGCGAATCTGTTCATGCTGTTTCTTCACAGAATCCCGATCAACGTCGCCCACCAAGAACTGTCAGGATTGTTTCCCGGGCATCTCCATGCGGAGATCCAGGTTCACAGATGAACCCGCAAGCTGCTTGCTGTGTTGTTTGTCTGTCTTTCCGGCACTTGGCTTTCTAAGGGGCGGATCTTGCAGGCCGAGTTGCGGGTCAGGGGGAAGATGTACTCCACCTTCGCCGTCTTCAGGAGCCGCGAAGACGCAGATGAGGCGTTCCAGGAGCTGAAAGGCCAGGAAACCAAGGTAAATTTCAACGGGTTCACCTCTCTGCATTCGATTCCTAGATTTCCCTTTCAGTAATGATTCTGAGAATTTCAACGGGTGGTTCCTGTTTTATTTATTTATTATTAATTAATTAACAAATAAAAATCCTTCCGAGCTTGATCAGTGTGGTTCCTTTCCGTTGGTGCCGTAATTTAATTTAATTAATTTATTTGTTGTTGGGTTTGAGATCTTGGATTCTCTGGGGTTGTTCCGTTTTCAGGACTGCTTGGGGCTGCCGCAGAAACGCGTGTGTTTGAGGCTCGTCTCCGGCGAAACGGCGAGCTTGTGTGTGCGGAAAATGGCCGCGGACGGCGCAGCTGTGAGCCCAAAGAGACCGGCGGAGGTCGACGGAGGGGAGTCGAAGCGGCGGAGGGTTGGGCATGAAGGGCGGCTGACCCGCCGGAGAGGCCGAAAGGTTGGAGCTGGAGCTGTGCGAGAGGAATGAGGAGCTGCAGCCTCGGAGTGCCGGAGACTGGCGGAGACTGGCGGAGGAGGGGAGCTGCTTGATCCTTGGGAGAATGAACGTCCTCACTCACTGTGTATGTGATTGAGCTCATCCATCCTCATTGTTTGCCTTAACCATGAATGCTGGACTGGTTCGGCCGATCTTAAGTAAGCTTTATGCCATTCATTCTGCTAATGCGCCCACCAGAGAGAGAGAGAGAGAGAGAGAGCAAAATAAGTCCATGAAGCAGGGGAAAGTGCGTCACTAACCACATATGAAGGGGGATCCATCCATTATTATCACATCAAGATCTGGGTAATTACATGCTTCTCCAAAAAATGATTGGAAATCCAGAGTTCTACTCATGAGAGATCTGGGTGGCCAGAGAAAAATATAGAAAGAGAAAAACAGAGCCCCACTGTTTTTCTATCTAGAATTCAAAATAATATAAATAAAAGAATGTCAGCGTTAGCAAACCTCAACCAATGCTGGATGGTTCGCCTGGTTGTTGTCAGGTGGACAACGACCCACGAATCTGATCGCTAGGATCCGGACTTTCGTGTGATGATCTTCTGGTTGAGGTATTTAGGGCATGAATTGACATTTACCTGGGTATGAATGATTTTTCTCGATGTGAGGAATTTTGCTATTGACGGCAGGTTGGGGAGCATTTAAAGATGCCTAATTTCTTGTGGTCGGGTCACTTTGGATTATGCTAGTTTCTTCGATTTCCATAAATGGAAAGAAAACGGCTGATAGTATGAAATCATTTTAAAATGCCTGATTTCTTGTGGTTGGGTCAGCTAGATTCTTCGATTTTCATAAATGGAAAAAAACGGCTGATAGTATGAAATCATTTAAAAATGACTAATTTCTTGTGGTTGGGTCAGCTAGTTTCCTCGATTTCCAAAAATGGAAACAAAAGTGGCTAATAGTATGAAATCATTTTAAAATGCCTGATTTCTTGTGGTTGGGTCAGCTACATTCTTCGATTTCCATAAATGGAAAAAAAATGGCTAATAGTATGAAATCATTTTAAAATGCCTGATTTCTTGTGGTTGGGTCAGCTGGTTTCCTCGATTTCCATAAATGGAAACAAAAACGGCTAATAGCATGAATAACTTCCAAAGCAAAGGTTTTTTTCCTACTTTTAGTATGTATGCGTTGTTGGTAACAAAAGAATGGCAATCTCTTGTACATGCGTACCTTTCTTGCGGCCTCATTTTCCTCAAGGGGCTTCACGTTTCCTCTTGTGGGAATTGCGCCTTGATCTTGGGGTTCTACCGGATTTTGAGTGGCGCTTCACTTCAGGCCATGGAGTCCGCTTTGCAGGTACAGTGATCTCCAAAGGAGAGTCCACTGTCCACCTGAATGCATCAAGAACAGATTAAAAAATTCAGTAGATTTGCATAAAAATGATTGGGCAGCCCCTGATTTCTACCCTGGATTAAGAGAAACATGTGTATCCTGAATGAAATACTGACCGACCATAGATTATATGCCTTCATATTTGCAATGAAAACTATATGAGAGTAGTAGCTAATGGGTCCAATGAATATGCAGAATGCCTAAAAAATATTTAGATCCTGAGATGATCCTGTGACTTGAATCGCTCCATATGTGGGAACCAAGGTTTCAGAGCTATGATTTCTGAAGGGGGATACATCTTGGCATCATTTTATAAGTTAATCCGACCTGATTTAGCCTTAACATAGCACCGCAGACTATAAAATTTAGACAAATGACGTTTTTGGATGGAACGGCATCCTTCAACCTCGAAGAACCCTCCACCGAGGATGAAAGATCATCAGGAGATAAAGCTACAGAAGAAAAGACTGATACCGGCGGTGTAGTTGGCTGAAATTAAAAGGATTCCATCACTGTGAAGATCTACTACCATCAAGATGAGAAAAGCTCTTATATGAAGAAAAAAAATAAAAACAGAGAACTTTTTCAAAAAGTGGGACGCCATCATTCTCAAAGCTGGCCGACAGGCCATGAGTCTGTTCTCACAGGAACTATCATCTGGTTTCAGTTCTAATGAATACTTCTGTGACTTTTAGATAAAGAAGTGCGCATGTTATATCTAGTCACATCGTTTAGCCAGACATGAATTTCAGATGATAAGTTTTTAAGAATAATGACGAATAAACAGAAAATATATCTAAAAGTTTTTACATGCCTAATTCTTTGTGGGCTCTCGGACAAGGAAGAGAAGGTATGTGAAAAGAGCTCATGGAAAAATTCCATGCAGGAGCGGCAGCAAGTGCCTACATCTTGTTGTATGATTTACAAGCCCAAATCATATTCAGGCGACTGGGCATTGCAACATGGATCTTGGTTGTGAATGTAATTTGGAAACAAATGAAATATGAGGATATGCAGATGTAGTGGATCACATGAGCCTGACTACCTATATTCAAAAAGAGGGACACGGAGATAGAAACAAGGCAGAGAGAAGTTCATCACTGTTGCTTACGAAACCATGCTCACAGATGCAAGGAGCATGAAATTCTATTGGGTTTTTGTGCGTCTCTCTCATAGTCGAACAGCAGCGAAGCTACGGATAAAAAAATAATCCATGAAACGGTCTATGCGACTGCCCATCTCTTGTACTAAACAAGCTAATGGAAATGGCAGATGAAGCTCACCTCGGTGGAAACTGGCTGTCTGTTCTGGCCTCTGTACGAAGCCACCACAAGGAAACCTTCTTCCCACAATTACCAACGGGCTCGATAAATGACATATCCTTGAACAATGATAGGGGACTATCGACCTCCTCTTCATTCTCCATCACGGAGTCCAGATCATTAATCGAGTCTGGCCTATCCTCAGCATCCTTCCATAGTAACCTTGCATTTAGTACAAACCCAGACCATTCCAGGTTCATTGGGACGATGATTCCATGGTCCCCAACGTATGTTGCACTGGCCCCAGCATAAGGCAGAGCGCTGAAAGTATGCAGTCCCACAAATGCACCCGAGGAGTTGCAGGCAGGGCCTTGAATGGGCATCGACGGGTCCATTTTCCTGATCTCTTGTTCATCTGTACACGATGAGCCAGAACACCCAGAGTGGGTGAGAATCCCCACCGACAGTGCGCCCGCCCATTTCACTGATTGGATCTCATCGAACAGTTCTGTGCTGTGCATGTTGCTGTCGTCAAGGAACACCACTAATCCATCTAGCTTTCTCTCCCTGATGATTCTGGTGCGGAATTCCAGCCTAGTTAGAGTCCAACAAAAGAATCTCACACTAAATTGGTCGACAACTACTGAGAGATTCTCCATTACCTGAGGCCATGGACGCGCATCCGGCCCTCCATGCGGTGACGCTCGGCCCACTCGACAGGCATGTCTGCATGGAATGGCACGTGGATGACCTCCAGTCCCGAGCGATCAATCAGCGCAGCCGTCTCGTCGGTGGTGGCGCCGCCTGCCTCGACGACGATCCAGGTGACGTCGTAGGGGACCAGCATAAGGGAGTGCATCACTCCAGTGAGATGGAGGGTCTGGAAAGTACGAACATAGGTGGGCGTTACCGCTATAATGCGGCGAGGGTTCTTGACGCCGTACTGGGCGCGCTGCTCCTGTTGAACCCTCCTCAGGATCAGATGCGCCCTCATCACCTCCTCCTGGTTGGGATGCGGCCACGGCCGGATCCGGATCCCGTGCCTACCGACCACCACTCTGCTACCGACGCCCTTCACGGCGCCATTCGAGACCGTCCCGGAGAAATCGGACAACTCCGAAAGAGGCGGCATCGGAGGGGAGTCCAGGGACGAAGCGACAGAGCTCCGGAGACGAAGACCGTCGGAGGAATGGAGGTGGGAGTAAGGATTCGAGAAGAGAAGGAAGAAGATGAGTCGGGAGAACCGAAACCCGACGACGAGGCTCACAAGGCAGCATACGCCGTGGATCAGGAGAAAGAATGCCGAAGCAGGAGACGACCTGACGAATGCGAAAGGAGACTCCGCCATGGCGGCGGCGGCCACTCTGCCACCGTGCGGCGGCGAAATGGCGTCGCCGCCACCACCACCTCGCAAACCACCACCAAAACCTCGCCGGACGGAGCTATACTGCTGTTTCAGCGCCGACGGCTTCATCGCGCACCTCTCTCTCCCTCTCTCTCTTTTCTCTCTCCTGAAACTCTCTCCTCTCCACACCACCGGCGGCGCCGCGGCAGTTCTCGCCGGAGGGAGGAAGGAGACAACGGCGGGGGAGGAGATCGGAGAACTGTCCGGCGACCAAGTCATATAGGAAGGTGCTGTTGCCGCCAACTGGTATCGCCCGCCCCTCATTTTGTTGATTTATTTATTTACTATTTATCTATTTTCTCCCTCCTCCCACGTTGTGAAAGTCCACCAACACTAACTAGAAGAAGGGAGTTTTGGTGGCTGGACCCTACAAATCAATCGGAATTATTAAAATATAAATATACTTCTTATTATTGGAAAAATGCTCCCATGGGCGGGCGTACAGCTCGACGAGATTTAGATGGTTTGGCGTCAAAAGGGAGGAAGTAGACCCCGACACGGCACCCATGTTCCAGGGGCTTTTGTGTAACATTACCGAACCGGACAAGGGCACATTGCTGATTAAAATAGTTCTCAGAGCCCGAAAAAATCAAAAATGACGTAAAAGTAATTTCAGTCGGTTGCCCCGTCCACGTTGTCGGAATCGTGACATGGAGAGCGAGAGAGAGAGAGAGAGAGAGAGAGAGTTGAGGTCGGTGGGCAGGTGGGATCTTCTGATCGAAGGGAAAAGGAAAGGCCCATTTGTGCCCAAATGCGGTGCAGGTCAGTGTGATGCGCTGTGCACGCATTGGTACGCAAATGAGTCTTAGTCGAAGTCCAACCCGTCGTTCAATGTCAATTGGGTGCGTATCGCACTCTACGCCGGCGTACGCCTGCCGGTCAATAAAATATCTCCTGCAGGGCACGTGGCAGGTCCTTAGATCCCTGGTTTAGACAATCAGACCCGAGACCGCATGGAATGAATCGGCCGGGTCATGAACCTCAAGAACCCTTTTTAAAAAGTTATTGGGCCCACATAATGATTAATGGGCGACACCATGACCAGGCCCATTCCAGCCCACATAACCACAAACGTAGAGATGATTGAGGGCGGCGGGGAGCTGACGTGGTGCGCGAGTGTTTTGCTATTCCGCAGAGGCACCAGACCAGACGCCACGGTGCACCTCTAATGGTAGAGGTCCAGTGATCGGATGGTGGCGATTAAGTGGTGTTGGATCGGATGGCCATCTGGGCGGCTCTCATTTGGGGATTATAAGGAAGGGGTAGGGGCTGGGGGTCGGATCGGGTCGCTAGGCGTTTCCTTTTTGTGGAGAGCCAATCGACCTGCCCTCGTTCTTCTTCTCTCTCGGCTCGCTGCAGCTCCTCCGCCGCCGTCCTCCGCCACCGGAAGATTCAGGTCCGCCCCCGCCTCTTCCATCTGATACGCCGCCCATCTACTTGCATCGGATCCAGTTCTTTTCGTTCCCCGGAAATTTTCTGATTTCGAGGAGAGCCTGTGCGGAGTTTGGGCGGGGTTTACGGGTTTCAGTGGGTGTAGATCGTGGGTTTTCCATGTGGGCGAGAGAGCTGCGTCGCTGATTATGATTTTTTCATCCGGATGGGGATGCGGATCTGATAAATCGCCGACTTGCTACTCTGGCCGTCTCTTATTTTCTTCCGAGGGATTGTTGGAGTATGGGCTTTTATAGTTTTGCGTCCTCTGATGTTTCTCGTTGACGGAGAGTGGAACATATCTCTTTTCCTTGGTTCTAACTGGAAAACTTTTCGATACGGGTTCTTGGTGAAGATTTTTATTTGGGATTCTCGTTTTTTGCAATCTATTCACTTTAGGATTCCTTATTTTGTTTTTCATTCGCCTATATGGGTATCTGATGCTTCCGCCTGATCAGATTCTTCATCTAACTTTGTAACGAAAAGGGTGCGCTTCTGTTCGGTAAAGGTTTAAGTTGGGAGGTGTTTCAATTATTTGCTAATGCCGTGTGAGAAATTGAAGGGGGACTCTCCAGAAACCCTGGAAGCGCAAGTGGAGTGGAGGATTCTAATATCAGATGATCTCAGAGAAGAAGCTCCCAATGACTGGCCTTTGGGATGGGAGGAATGATCATTCTTGCGGCACTCTAAGGAGATATTTAATGATGCTTTATAAAGAGAGCTTCACTGTTCAGTAGTCACTGTGAGAAGATCTATTGGTAATAGTGGTGGCTATCTCATTGAGTTGTGGGATATACTTACTTTTGAGGAGAGGATACATTAGTAGGTATTTGCTAGAATATTGCTAAAATATGTTTGAAAATTATGGTGATAAATGATTAGATAAAATGTGGACCAGAATGAGGTGATATTCGGTATTGAAAATGGATTAATGTTCTTCCGTTTTTTGTACAAATTTGATGACCTTTTTTGGTTGAATTCGCTGCGGGTGGGCATGGCTTATATTTTAGTCGATGCACTGAATAAGTTGGGTAGCTTCGTACTCTGGTTCATATTGAGTTCAGTATTGGCTGCATCTTACTTGAGTGTATGACGGACGATATTGAAAAGAAAATATGGTTTTTCTCTGTTGTTATTTCTCTTCTTGTCTACGTTATCTTGACTGCCATCATTACTTCCTTGTCGTAATCTTACCTGAACTTCTACGACTGCAATCTGATTCAGTTGATTTACGCAATCTTACTGTTCCAAGGTCAGTCTTTGGTAGTAGACTTGTTTGTTGTAATCTGTTTGTGTAGGGACTAATCGAATCCTAAGGTCATTCATTGAGGATTCTTTGTGCGACAGGAATGATTTTTGTTTCTTCTGTTTTGGGTGACATTAATTTTTTGGGGAATTGTGTCGTATGGCGCTTATTTTATCTTTGACTTGTTTATCATTTTTCTTTTCATGTCTAAAATCTCCCTTGATGTTGTGGAATGTTATGCTTTGCCTTTTTTCGCATTGAATGACTTACCATAAAGCGATCCAATTCTTCTCTGCATTGTAGTCACTCAGGACCGTAAATCTAAACATGGTCGTTTCAAATATGTAGTGGCCAAGTTTTTTAGCTGTGGGAAGTCAACTGTTCTGGATTTTCCTCTCTGCTGGATGACAGCAAGTAGTTTGCTACTCTCGTAGACTACTTAGAATATTTTTTTGGAATATTTATTCATACGTTTGTCCTTAATTTTTTCGGTCGTTTTAATGATTTTCAACTTTTATCTCATAAGGAAAGCTTCACAGCTTCATTTTTTTTGCTGTATATTCTTTTAGTATGTGTTACATCTCTTATGTTCTCATTCTCATTTAAATGAGGGCATGTTATTTATAACTTTTCAACTGATTATGATCATTTTTTCATTTTCGTAAAAGATATGGTTTCTTATGTTTCAGAACGCTTTTTTAGACATGAAGGAAGAGCTAACGTTAATATTCTTTTTTCCCAATTGTAGATCTTTGGGCAGGCATATTTTATTTGTTTATTTACGTAGAAATGCACAAAGAATGCTCTTGAATTGTTTATTGTGTACTAATGAATATACAACCAGTGATTATGATCAACTGATTATGATCATTTATTTTCTTTATAAAAGCTCTTTGAGCGCTATTCATTGTCTATCTTTTGAGGGAGTATTATGTGCTCATGAATTCATGATTGACCAGTGAAGATTGAACATGGTTCAAAACTTAATTATGTCTGGGATACATTGATCAACCGTTTAATTATCAAGTTCATTATGATTTTTTTTGGCATACGTATGTCTAAAAAGGCATGCTATTTACTTTGACCCTAGTCTAACATCTGCATTTGGGAAGCACAGTCATAATCTTTTAAATTATGGTTTCTTAGCGTATGGATTTGGTCTAATTCAATATAAGTCGCTGGAAGATTCAATGAGATGTTCATGCAAACAAATATATATGCTTTTCTGCCTTGATTTAGAGGCTCATCTTGGTGTTCATTGCATTGACATTGATGTTCATTTGGAGAGCTGTTGGTGCTACGTTTTGCAGGTTTATTCTTTTATGTTATCTGGAATGCATAGGTCACTTGAGAAACCTCTTTGTTGCATGTGATTTAATGCCTGGGACATTGCCTACCTTTTTTTGGTGGTCTTGCCTTGAGCTCGGCCAGTGTAGTGGGAATGGCTAGGCTGAGGAAGAGGCAAAGATGCTCATGGCGTTCTGGGTTGAAGGATCGATGACAGATTTGCTGCAGTAGTGGGTAGGGAGGCATTCATTGCGGAAGCAGGACTTTTTGGCCTAGTTGGGGCTTGTATTAGGAGAAAATTGACAAATGAGATAATCTCTTTAATGATTTTTTTTTTATATCAGCTCTTGATGGGGAGGATATTACAGGATGGGAATGGAATGCAAATCCTCGAGTTACCAATATCATTGTAAATCGTTGAGATGGTTTGACTGGTCATCGTAAATCGTTGGTACATATAAAATATCGTTAGCAACTATAAATGGAGTAGAATATGGAATAGTTTTCTAATATGGACTAGAATAGGAGATAGTTTTTAGTTCTTGACCATCAGGGATTTCTTTTGGTTATGATCTTAAGGATATTCCCTGATATTTCGTTACTGTTACTGGCAGACATTGATTTCGTGAACTTCTGCTCTACTGTTTTGCGACAATGGCTGGATTGGCACCTGAAGGGACTCAGTTTGATGAGCGCCAATATGACATGAAAATGAAGGAGTAATGAATATTCTAATTCAGTTTTACTTTACTTACTTTAATTTTTTACTTTCTATTCATTTATTTAAATCATTTGGGACATTACCTGATGCAGGCTTACGGAAGATGGGCAGGACTTCTTTACCTCATATGATGAGGTTTATGAGACCTTTGATGCCATGGGGTTGCAAGAGAATCTCTTGAGAGGCATCTACGCCTATGGTGAGTGAGATCAGCTCTTCCATTTCTCTCTTGTTTCGTCTTCATTGAGAAGCTTTTAACACCGTTTTGCATTGTCCTGTTCATAGGTTTCGAGAAGCCTTCTGCCATACAGCAGAGGGGGATTGTGCCTTTCTGCAAGGGTCTGGACGTCATCCAGCAGGCGCAATCCGGTACGGGGAAGACAGCGACTTTCTGCTCTGGGATCCTGCAGCAGATCGACTACGGCCTCGTGGAATGCCAGGGCTTGGTTCTCGCCCCGACCCGAGAGCTTGCCCAGCAGATTGAGAAGGTCATGCGAGCCCTCGGAGACTACCTCGGCGTGAAGGTTCATGCCTGTGTTGGTGGTACCAGCGTTCGCGAGGACCAGCGCATTCTCTCGAGCGGAGTTCATGTTGTTGTCGGCACCCCCGGCCGTGTCTTCGACATGCTTCGTCGGCAGTATCTCCGGCCCAACAGCATCAAGATGTTCGTCCTGGACGAGGCTGACGAGATGCTCTCTCGGGGCTTCAAGGATCAGGTCCTCCTCCTCTATCCTTTTGGCCCACAAGAATCTATTCTCGACTGATGCCGGGCATCTTTGATGGGTCTTCTTCTTTCTTTCTTTCTTTGTGTTCTCTGAATGTTGTTGTGGGTCAGATCTACGAGATCTTCCAGCTGCTGCCGTCGAGGATCCAGGTGGGGGTGTTCTCGGCGACAATGCCGCCGGAGGCGTTGGAGATAACGCGCAAGTTCATGAACAAGCCGGTGAGGATCCTGGTGAAGAGGGACGAGCTCACTCTGGAGGGGATCAAGCAGTTCTACGTGAACGTCGAGAAGGAGGACTGGAAGCTCGAGACCCTCTGCGACCTCTACGAGACTCTGGCCATCACCCAGAGCGTCATCTTCGTGAACACCCGCCGCAAGGTCGACTGGCTCACCGACAAGATGCGCAGCCGCGACCACACGGTCTCGGCCACGCACGGCGACATGGACCAGAACACCCGCGACATCATCATGCGCGAGTTCCGGTCGGGCTCGTCTCGGGTTCTCATCACCACGGACCTCTTGGCCCGTGGCATCGACGTCCAGCAGGTCTCCCTGGTCATCAACTACGACCTGCCGACGCAGCCGGAGAACTACCTGCATCGCATCGGGCGTGGCGGGCGGTTTGGGCGGAAGGGTGTGGCCATCAACTTCGTGACCCGCGAAGACGAGCGGATGCTCTCAGACATCCAGCGGTTCTACAACGTGACCATCGAGGAGCTCCCTGCCAATGTGGCCGATCTTATATGATGGCGGAGGTGGGGAACTGCTTCACGGCGAGGAGCCCGGCTCGTTTTTGCAGTGGACTTGTGCGTCAAAAGTACTCTCTAAGTATTTGATTAATTGTCTGGAGGTTTGGCCCTCATAGTAGGACTCTGAAGGACTCTAAATTTATGTGGACTCTGCCGTCCTGGAGCTTGTGATCTCTGTACCAGCACCAAGTATTGGGCTTCTCTTGCAGGTAAATTTGTGGGTTATCTAATTCCTTCTCTCTCTTCTCTCTCTCTACATGTCTGCTCTCTCTCTCTCTCTCTCTCTCGCTTCAAGCTACCACTCCACGAAGAAGGGAAGACTCCGGCTGATGCTCTCTTCAGTGGTCTATTGGTAAAATATACATGTGATTCCGTACAAACTTGGTCTTTCCAGATTAGTAGTAGTGTGTTGAAGTGGCGGAGGAGACTGATCTTTTATTGGGCCCATTAAGTTTTAGTCAGCCTTGATGGACCTCTGATTTTTAGGGGCATATTTGTCTTTTGTCTTGATAGAGTCTTTTAGGGGCATATTTGTCTTTTGTCTATAGAAGTAAGTTTCATTTGTGCTCTCTCTCTCTCTCTCTCTCTTGGGTGTCATTTTGCACCATGGCATACAGGATATAGGTTTTTTTCTTCGTGAAATAAAATTAATAAATATTTTACTAAAAAATTATATCATATTGAACATACTCATAAACAATTAGTCATTCAAACATATAAATATAAATTAAAAATACGTAAAACAGAGAAATAATGTAGACATTAAAAAGAATCGTACATGAAATTTAAAGATGAAAATCTTCTTTCATTGTGGGTTTGACTAATTGGTGTATTAGAAATAGAATCATTTTATGTAGTGTTGGAGCATTAAATGTATGATGTTGCTAATTAATATTTAGAATAAATATACAAATTTGAAAATATAATCAAATAATATTAATTTAAAAATAAAAGCTATTTTTTAAGAAAAAAAGTTAACTTATCGAGTTTGTGATTTTTTTTTTTTGAGTTCATTCTACATGAAGTATCACCCCTTTTAATATGCACCTGAACCTTGCATGAAATGGTAGTAACCTTATTAATTTAGATAATTAAAATCAATAAAATTTATGACCATTACAATATTGATTAAATCATGGCAACGTTTGTATCTAGGTAAAGTGAATAAAATATTTTTTTGTGATATGTGCAAAACCTAGGGAATAGTATCCAAACTTGACTAATATTTAATTTAACATGGAAAAACATATTTACTATTAAAAAATTATATGTCCACACCGTTTTACTTGACTTTTGTCGTCATAGCGAGAGAGAGAGAGAGAGAGAGACAGGGAGAGAGAGAGGGAGAGGGGGAGAGAGAGAGAGAGGGGGGAGAGAGAGAGAGAGAGAGAGAGTGGGAGAGAGAGAGAGAGAGGGGGGAGAGAGAGAGAGGAGAGGGGGAGAGAGAGAGAGAGAGGAGAGGGGGAGAGAGAGAGAGAGAGGGAGAGAGAGAGAGAGAGAGAGAGGGAGAGGGGGGGGAGAGAGAGAGAGAGAGAGAGAGGGAGAGGGGAGAGAGAGAGAGAGAGAGAGGAGAGGGGGGAGAGAGAGAGAGAGAGAGAGAGAGAGAGAGAGAGAGAGGAGAGAGAGAGAGAGAGAGAGAGAGAGAGGAGAGAGAGAGAGAGAGAGAGAGAGAGAGAGAGAGAGAGAGAGAGAGAGAGAGAGAGAGAGAGGGAGAGGGGGGAGAGAGAGAGGGAGAGAGGAGGAGAGAGAGAGAGAGAGAGAGAGAGGGAGAGAGAGAGAGAGAGAGAGAGAGAGAGAGGGGGAGAGAGAGAGAGAGAGAGAGAGAGAGAGAGAGAGAGAGAGAGAGGATTCAACCTCTTTCATTCCCATGGCTTCTTCTTTAAAAATGCCTGCACCGTTTTATAATTTCCTCGAACTACTTTTTTTTTAACTCTCTACAAATCATCTCATTCAGCTCAATTGAAAATTTTCCCACCTTAATTCAGACCCAGTGAGAACTTCCCCAACAAACTGCTTCTTTGTGTTAAAATCAGATGGTCATAAATTTAATCAATATTGTAATGGTCAATATTGTAATCAATATTGTAATGGTCATAATTGGAAATATTATGATAGACAATATCGTCGGTTGTACCGGCTTATTGGAAATATTTAGCCTTTGGGCGGCTCTGATCCTGCGATAACATAAGATTCTAGGCATCTCTGAAGAACTGATCAGTTAAAACGCTGTGCTGTTGATCCCTTCATGATTTTCTAACAAAGGTAAATACAATCACCGTAGGTGTACGACTTTGTGTAGGGAAGAAATACCTTCAGATCGCTCTCACGGTTCGTCACAGCAGAAACTGTTCTGATAATCCAGAGGCTCGTTGTTTAGTCTTTCCCTTCCACTTCAAGCTAAGTCGAATTATACCAAAAATACACAGACTGATGCGCGAGCATATGCACTAATGTGAGGATGATTGGATCTGTTAGCTTTTCTCTGCAGAGTATTAATCATCCATGTATTGTGGGCTCGGGAACTTTGATTGTCATGCTGGCGAGGAGTCATTGACTTTCACCTGTATAGAATCGTAATTCTTTTTTGGTGGCTTGGGAGTTTACTTCCGTATCTTTGTGTGCACATAGTCGGAAAAGGAAAGAAATATGAAGGGCAGAACAGTGGCAGTCATTGCTAAATCTATTGGGTTTCAACTCAACAGTGGGGATAATGTATCCAACCGAAACAAGCTACGGCTTGGATCGTAAAGAAAAGGCTACTGAATGGTTTTCTAGGCTGGAAACCGAAGATTCTGGCCGCATCCAAGGGTTCTCTCACAAATGGTCCTGAAAAGTAGGTAGCCTCAAGTCCGTGTGGTTTTCATCAACGAGCTCAGGCATATCAGTATGAAGAGGGAAGAGGATTTCCTCACACTTCTTCCCTCGGTCATAATCAAGCTTTCGGCAAGGCTTTTTTTTGTTCGAAAAGATCAAAGGTGAACACTTTCTTGGTCGGTCTATTAGGAAGATACGTTAGGCACGCGGAAGAAGACTGACCTTGAGTGCCCCCTTTATTCATATTGAAATTTTTCTGACTTCCTCGTCAATATGCGTGCTCTGACTCCCTCGTTCACGCAGATTTCCATGGTTAGTTGTTTACCCAGTCACCCGCGCAACTTTTCATCACGAGTTGACTGTGAATCCGAAGAACGGAAGGAGGAGAGAACGTGTGTTCTCGGGTATATAGCTAGCTCTCTAATCGCCAGGTCCTCCGATTTCATCCAAGGTAACGTCGTGAAAAGGAGCGATCGTTCTTCTGCTTGGTTGCGTAGCTGGAAAGAGAAGACGTGCATAGCTCATGGCGGGAGCGAGAACACCGGGAAGAACCACGCCTTCCACGGCTGCAGTGCTCCTCTTGATTCTCTTGCTGGTCTCCACATCAACCGCCCGGTCCCCGCCGATAATCAAGGAGTCTACCCCAGTCTTCAGTGCTACAGTTTATAAACTGAGGGTCCCTCGTGCGAAACCTGGAAGCTCGCACCAACCTGCTCCTCCGGCTCACTGAGGTAAGAGATCTTCCATGAGGGCGGTGGATGTTCTACTTTTATACAGCCGCAGCGCGATTTCCAACATTCGATCTGTTAGCAGGATCCGTGTGGGCTGTGTTTATATTTCGTAGAGAGATGTAATATTTCGACGACTTGTACTAAATGTTCCTGAATAAGTGTAATATCTATTACGATCTGGAATCTTGTGAGATTTCTTCTCAATCTTTAACCTGGCAATTTTTGTTAGAGACAATCATGGAGATAAATCCCTCCATCAAGATCTTGCTGTCTACCGTTTCCGCTAAACAGTTGTGCTTTCTTTTTCTTCTGTTTCTTTGTTTTACTTAGATGTAATCTCCGCTGCTGATTAATCCTGTTATGACGTCACAGATGATCCCGAGTAGGATAACGTTCAGTAACGGCCCTCTAGGTTGTTATTACTGTAGCTGTCGTTACAGCTGGTTGATGTATGCCTATAAGAGACGGGTGTGTCTCAATATCATTAATCTGCACTCTTTAAATCATTTCTCCTCAATAAGATTCTTTCTCAAGAGTTTGCTCTCCTTCGCGGCGTGTTTCTTGCTTTGAGTCTGAGTGGTTCGGATTCTACAATTTTTGGTCTCGGTTCTGCTACTGATGCCTACGTCTGCCGATGCGGCCCAGGTTCTAACGAGAATGAAGACAGCTTACCAGGGCTCTGCCTTACCTCTGGCACATTGGCAGCTACGAGGTAGGTGGATTCGCCCTCCGCCTATGTCGCATGAGCCCGCCCCACCGATACGAGTTCCGTGCTGCCGCTAGAACGGATATCTTGAATGGACGTTTCTAGCTGGCTTGCTGAGTTCTCTTATATTTATTTTCTTTTCCCATCCTGTCTCGTTCTCTGTGTTTCTCCATCAATCTGTCTGTCTGTCGATCTACTAGAAATACCAAAACAAAAGCAAGGATTGCTTCTATATCGCTGAAGAACCCAGATGACATCCTTTGTTAGTGAAAAATATTTCTAGAGACGTAAAGGCATACGGAAAGAGAGAGAATTCAGAATTCATTCTATGTTTGTGATTGGGCCTACGACCAATTGTCTATAGAGAAGATCCGTTCGGCCCCTCTATTTCAAGGGTCAACCTTAACCCGTGTCAAAGATTATTGGACTCTTCAGTTCCTGCCTTGAGTTTCATGATCCCGATAGCTCAGTCTTCTTTGACAACTGAACCTCGTGGGGAAATCACGTGGGGAAATCAAGCCCCTAGTCGACAAAAGTCAAGAAACATGACTGCGGTGCCGGTCTCACCCCGTTGTTATGTGCGAAAGAGACGCGGCTCGTGCTGCTGCAAATAGATGTCCGAGTGACCGCGTCATCGGTTCTTTCACTTCCCTTACTGCTGTCCTCGTCGTCAACAATCGCTGACCTCTAAACGCTTTCGTGGGTTCACGCTTACCTTAGTAGTGTCACAGCTGCGAATTGGCTGGA